AGCCATCCCTATAATCCAGGATCACACCCTTCAACTTCCTCTTTCTTTGGTGAATCAACAGTCCAACAATAACAGATCAGCAACCAACCAGTAGTTACCAGGAATCAGAACTGCAGCAACCAATATCTCCAACAATGAGAAGAGCGGCAGTCCAATTCTTAAGGAAGAATGCACTGAGGCGAGCAAGAACCAACAGCTCAAGCCTAGGGAACATCAAGCTGGAAAACATAAAAGACAGGATGTAGCCCCGGTCAGACATCACGGAGACAACTTATAGTACAACATTAAGTAGACAGGGATTACAAACCGTAAAATCAAGGAAGCATGCCAGAGCAATACAAAAACCCAACCATACTGTATAAATAGAAATGACAATGCTAAACTATATGGTACAAACCTGACGGAGGATATAGCCACCTAAGAACGGGAAGAAAAGTTACTGCAATGAAGCATAAAATCCAACTAGACACGAGGGAGGAAGAATGCAGCTACAGCAAACAGGGTGGGACAATACTTGCCTTCGTGTCTTTCATAAAATCATGAATTTTCATCATGAAATAGCAAAATCATGTGATTTTATTTCAAGACACGGAGGCTCATATTGTGCAAGTTCAAAGCTGTACCACCACAGGCGAGAAAACGTGGGATATAAGCTTGAAGTAAAACTCGTGAAAGGTGGACTCCTGATGATCGCATCAAATTCTCGAGTCGACCCCCCAGGGACACTACCTTTGATGCAGATGCCCCGCGAACGGAGTGGGCACCGAAACGGGATACATCGACCCTCGCAGAGGACAAAATCCATTTGACCCATCGGGTCAGAGTGGAGCTAGATACAGGATAAAGGGGTGTCGCAAGGCGAGGAACAAGTGAAAAATCCGGTAGGAAGCGGTTTTGCGTTCGTACTCCCGAAGGCAAGAAACCGGGCATAAGTGTGGTCAGTTGGGAAGTGCCGGGTAAACCACTGACCGACAGAAGGACTTAGTTTGTTGAGAAATATTGAACACCATGCAAATCGGGGTGAAAACGCGCGCGTCCGAGTCCAGAGCCCTGACGTCGGAAACCCGTTTGCAAGACACTAGGCAAAACAGAGTAAGCAGTTTAGCCGACAACTACCGAAGCAAGAGATTTGCATTCAAAGGCCAGGACTCAAACAACGTGAGGACGCAAGACATGTCCCAAGTGCAGCTGTTTCTAACAGTATATTAGAGGCAGCCAAATATCCCAAACCTGTGATATCAGGTGACACGAAAGGTGTAGGGTACAAATGTTTTCTACTATATGGAAGATTATGGAGAACAAGCAGTTTCGTTAAAGCATTGTCTTCGCCAAGATGTTGTGACATAGTGGAACTCACCTTTGGAGTTGATGTAATGTATCCATACGCAGCAGACAGCGATACATGTATCCATACGCAGCAGACAGCGATACATTACTTATCATCAGAGATGTGTGTAGGAGTGACATGTCCACTGGGGAAAGAGGAATTAGGAGCTATAAGTCAGATATTGGTAGTCCTTAAACCTTTCAAGGACAATTTAAAGGACCACTATAGTGCCAGGAAAACATACTCGTTTTCCTGGCACTTTAGTGCCCTGAGGGTGCCCCACCCTCAGGGTCCCCCTCCCGCCCGGCTCTGGAAGGGGGAAAGGGGGATTTTCACAGTGAGAATCACGCAAGCGCCTCTAGCGGCTGTCAATGAGACAGCCGCTAGAGGCTTTGGGGGAAGGTTTTCTCTGAAACTGCTATGTTTATAAAAGAATGGGTTAACCCTAGCTGGACCTGGCACCCAGACCACTTCATTAAGCTGAAGTGGTCTGGGTGCCTAGAGTGGTCCTTTAAGTCAAGCCACAGCACGCCTTAGTGATTACATTACAGCACCTTTAGAGCTGTAATATTAAACCTGGAGAGGGTACATCCAGAAGTGGCATGAGGTTGAAGGAAGAATTGAAAGGTTGCATGTGTAAAATTATAGACACCGCTCCAGAGTTAATGCTGGCCACAATTTGTGACCCAAAAATAATGGGAAATATGGTTGTGATGAGTGATATATGGGATGCCTATATGGAATAACAGATTACTTAATAAAGTGCATGTAATTGAGAAAAGAGGGTATTATAAATGAGGGATGGCAGGAGTTGAAACAGCACATAGGGGTGAAACCTCTTGCAGCAGTGGAAGCACAGTTGCTCAGCAAAGATCATCCTCCTTGGAGGGTCCATGGTACTACATGCAAAGACAGAATGGAGCAGCAGACATTTGGGACAAGGCCCTTACTCTGGTGGGAACCAGTGAAGCCACATCATCCCTGAGTGGCATCTCTAATACAGTGAAAGCATAACTTTCAGAACCTACTTGGACTTCTACTACATTGCCACTTACATACTGAGAACAAAAAAGTCAGGTGTGGCCAGGACTTAGGTTGATTATTCAACAGATGGTGTCATGCCCACCCACAAGTGAGTCTTCTCAGTTACTGGCATACACAGAGGTCACAGCTCTCACCAGGGTCTGTTGAGAAAATTACATTTTTCAAATGTAACCTGCCCAAGCTTGGCTATGTGTTAATACGGATTGAATGTAGAGGAGCCAACAGCTTTCAATGTGTGACTTCCACCTTTTCCCTGGGCTCACATGTAATGTTGCTGCTGCTATTCTGAGCTCACTTCAAGGGTTGCTGTTAAGAAGATAGGACTGCTACTGCTTCACCCTTTAGAGCAAGCATGTCAAACTCAAAGTCTGGATCGGGCCACATAAACAAGGTTTAAGTTTATGTGGGCCGCAAAAAAACTCTGTAAATTTTCATTTTCATAGAAACTCCCACTGACACACACACATATTCACTGACAGACACACACATACAGACACACACACACATACTCACACACTGACAGACACACTCACTGAGACACACACATACTTGCTGACAGACACACACACTCCACACTTACACATTCTTTTTTTTATTTTTTTTATTGCTCCTTACCTTATGGAGCCGATGTGGGGCATCTCTCTGGGGTCCTTCCTGCTCCTCACTGCTCCCTTGCGCTTTTTAGTGATGCCGGGTGCCGGAATATGATGTCATATTCCGGCGCCCGCCTTCACTTCAGACAGCGCGCGGGAGGGAGCAGTGAGGAGCAGGAAGGCTGAGCTCCTTTGCTGCATCCACCGTCCCTTTCTCCCCAGCCGGGTAAGTGTTAGCAGAGTAGGCACCCGCAATGTGGGGAAAGCAGGTGCCCACTCTGCTATAACACTGAGCATGTACTCGCGGCTCGCCGGGCTGCAAAGATGGTCCTTGTGGGCCACATGCGGCGAATTTGACATGCTTGCTTTAGAGCATCGTCACCTCTTTCCCTGGGCTCATGTGCAAAGGCTCTGCTGTTGCAACTGTTCTGAGTATCCATTTTTCTGTCAACCTGCTACTGTACCAATGATTTCTGTTCCATCATTCTAACATTCGCAGAGTAGAGATTTTTAATTAATTTTCTGACTAAATGACCAAAAACTTACATTTTGGTCATTTTGCGATTCTTCTGAAACCAAGTGCACATGTCTATTGTTTATTCCACTACAAATGCCATCTTTGCCAGTTAACACGTAGAAATTTTGTTGAGTATGAATGAGCGTGTACAATCTGAAAATAATGATAGCAGGCATAAATATTTTAAGAATTCTGAATTTAATCCACCACCTGACATTAGCATCACTACTAAAACTTAAAGCAGTGCTGCTTCAAAGAATATTTCCATTTAAAAAAAAAATCCTATATCATTAAAAAATAGTTTACATCTTCTTTAGGTAATTAAAGACCCATGAAAAGCTACACAGAGATAAAAATTTAAGTTTTAAACTGGCTTGTAAAGGTGGCACATTAGTTATTTTTAGCTATGAAGATTGCATTGCTAAATGTCAGAGACAATTAAACGAGCGTGATTTTTTTTTTCCATGATCAAAAGATGAAACCATAGTTAAGAATACCAAATTAGGGAGCTATCTACTAAACACATACACATTACCAATTACCAACACATTTCCATGCACAAAACACACATAATCACAGATATATATGCACACGCACATAACCACAGACACACAGATATAATCACACACATAATCCCAAACATATAGTTACCTAGCTAAATAGAGACATGCGTCCAACTTCAGCCTTTCTCACATTTGTTTTTGATGTTGACATAAAAGAAGGCAAAAAAAACCCAGGCTGAAGTGCTTCCAATTTTGCACAAAAAAAAAAAGGAAAAAAAATGCCTTTTTGACCCTAGAGTGAGATCTCTCCTTGGATCAAGAACCTTCCAACTAATTAAAAATTATATTCCTCTATATTATGTTTTTGCAAGTATTTATCCAATTGCTGTTTAAACGTCTGTATAGCCTCTGATAAAAGCACCTCTTCAGGGAGAGAATTCCACATCCTTATTGTTCTAACTGTAAAAAAATCCTTTCATATGCCTTAGGCCAGGGTTTTCCAAAATGTGGGTAGCAACCCACTGGTGGGTAGCCGCCTGATTTTTAGTGGGTCGCGCTGACCCACACGTCCAGGGCCGCCGGGGAACAGAAAGAGAATCTTCAGACTGATTAGTTGGGCCCTCAGTCCAGGACAAACATGTTGAGATTCAGGAAAGTATGGCACACTTAATATGCTGATCAAGAAAATAAACTTACATACTTAAACAGGATACTACCACAGTGAGATACTAGTGAGTTATTCTGATAGTAGGCTAGGCTAGTTGATAATATGATCAATGCAAGTGGGAAATGAGAACATGCGTATTCTCAAGAGGAGAATGAAAAACCACTGAGGCCTTCTTTTTACAACAAAATTATGAGAACCGGCAGGTTATTGGTAGCCAAGGGTTAGTGCATTAACATGAAGTAGCTGTGGATGTTGGCTATATACCCTAGTTTTCGAGCTGCAATGTTACTAGGAGTGACCAAAGAGTAGAAACTAAGTATAAGACGAAATAAACTAGTGTAACAGATTCAGGGAAGTACGTTGGTGGTCGGCTGCTGTGCAGGTTAATCAGGGTGAGTGAGTGAGTATTGTATGAGGGTGAACTCACGAGTGTTGACACTAGGACACATAGCAGGGCTGTGGGATCTAAGTAAGTTGCCTTGGCTCAGGCTGGGCTTGTTGGCTTGTTGGCCAGAGTGAGACTATCTATCCATGTTACATGAAACTGATGTTCTTGCAGTGTCCAGACAATTAGAGGCATGGTATATACTGCTTGCCCATTGATATGTAGCCGATATCTGTGAGACTTGTATATTGGTTTAGTGAGATGTTGCTTAGAAAAAGCTTGTATTAGGTGAGGAGAGAAATTGAGGTGGAGGTGGGAGCGGCATGTGGCAGATCCCCGGTAAAAAGTTTAACCTGTAAACAAAATTTGACTTCTTGCAATAGGGGATCCAGAGCACTGCTGGCACAAAAACCATAATGAGTTATGGTGGTTATGATGCTTGAATTATCCTGTAAACTGTATAACTTTTCAGGTTAATTTCTGCAATGTGAATTGTCCATTGAAATGACACATGCAGTGTATTTATGGTAAGAATAATGTTGTTTTTGCTTGCTATTTATTAATTTAATATGCTTTGACATATTCTTAAGGTTTTCACTGTAATGCCATACAGTATATATATATATATATATATATATATATAGATATATATATATACACACACACACACACACACACACACATTTTCTAAAACATTTTTTGCTTTTTAAAAGTTTATTCACACTAAATAATTTGCACAATGTATGATTTCTGAAGCAAGAGAGCTATAGTGGTTATAGTGCTTGGAGTGTTCCTTTAGGATGTTCTACATTTACTACCTTTTAACCAATCCTGCAATTATTATTTATTTTGTTACAGGCCTGGAAAATCTGGTAACTTTGGTAACTTTCCAGAACCTTCTGCGTTCTGGGCAGCCAAAAACCAGAACGCCATCCATATTCTCTTTGCATCCCAACCACTACACTAAGCTGAAGTGGTTATGGTGTTGGAACTGCCACCATTAAAGCTACACTCTAGTAGTTATGACTATCATAAATCACTACAGTGCATTATAGTGGTTATAATGTCTGGAATGTGCCTTTAAAGATCAGTAAGTAACGTAAAAGCTTGCTGTATATATATATATATATATATATATATATATATATATATATATATCGATCTATGTATATTAAAAAAAGCACAATTCAGTAATTTCATGATAAGTAGAATCTTTGCTTGGACCTTATTCTAAATTATCTGAAAGAGAGCAGCATTCTACACGTTCTACTCATTGAGTCTCCTGTCACTTGACTTACATCTGTTTAAACATGTCAGCTCACACGGTGGAGACACGGAAGTTACCGCCTCTGGTGTGTAGAACTCTAGCCGAAGCAAAAACCGGAACAGGAGGAGTCTTGGCCTCAGTGTCTGCTGTGAAGGTGACATTATGATACTTTTTATTTAAATCTTTATTTATAGGATTTAGCTAGGTTTAGTGACATGGGAAGGATAGAAGGTAGAGAAGCTGGTAATTACTAGTAGGTACTTTGTTATAATGTGCTCCATAAACAGTGTGTTTAATTAGGTCTGATAGGGAACGTGTGTCCAATCTACTCATGTTATAAAACTCTGTTCAGGAGCAATCTGACACTTCTCTTAATAATGATAACATACTATATAGTCACCTAGACATGGAATGTGTTTTATTTTAACTAACGTTCATCTTATTTACTTACAGAAAAAAGCGAGCATAAATACTGTGATATAATTATGTAACCACTGTGCGTTTCATAACTTGTTTTTATACAGCAACATTAGCTTTTTTTTTTTTTAAATTGACTAGAGATTATGAGCCAATATGTTATGAAAAGGAACAAAATACGAGTGCATTTGTTTCTATTTCCAAGCTTAATAGTGTAATTTAAGCATTAAAAAAAGAAAAACAACTATTCTTTATTGCTTGTAGGCTTCACAAGGCTGAAGTTGATATCTTATTCGGCCAGTTACATCTGTGGAAGTTGATTTCTTATTCGGAGCCAGCTCTGGTTATAATTTAAATCAAACTGATATGTTTATTTGCAATACAACCCAAATGTAAATAATGACAACAAGAAGGGGGAACTTCCTCCAGGCATTCAGTGATGCTATATTATCATTGTGTTAATGTTTTTTAGCCAGTAAACATTGGTCAAACTTCAGAATTAATTAACCAAAATAAACCAAAAGAACTAGTAACTGATGTTTTTAAAGGATTGATAAGTGAGCTAAATCACATTTACTTGCTCATTTCATCCTGTACTAATTTCTAAAGCTTTTGAATAAGACTGTTGTCTCAAAGTGATGCATGTCTCTTTTAAAGGACATCTCACGTAGGTATGAAAATGAAATAAAACAACTTAAATAATAGTGATAGAGCAACCATTGTGTAAGCAAACAAGATATTATAGTCCATGCAAGGTAGTGGAGGGTCAGAGGAAACTATAGTGTTAGGAATATACGTTTTTATTCCTTACACTACAGAATCCCTTTAGCATGCCTGTTTTGTTTTTGTAAATAAACAGTTGTCTGTGAATACAAATTTTTATATTTTATTTACCTTTTTTGCATATTCCTTTTTTCTGCACATGCTAATGTGATTTTATTCTTCATGGGCTTTTTTTTTTTTTTTAATTCCTTCCGTGGGCTTAATATTATTATTATTTATATAGCACCAGCAAATTCTGTAGCGATGTACATCATTTATTTATTTATTTTAATTCTATCTGGATCTTTCTCTACTAATATGCTAAGAAACATGCTTTCTTCGTTCATAACAGGCTGATAAATGTCAAGATGATGCTTTCAATCAGACAACTCATACGATCACCTCTTCCTTCACCTATACCTACACTAGCATGTATTCGATTTAACACAACAGGACCAGAGCAGGTAATTAATGCAGTAATTCAAATTTTACCATCAAAACATCAAGCATTCTCTATATATTAAACACAAGTTATCTTGCTTTCTCAGGCTCCTAAGAAAACAAAGTTTGGGCCTCTGCATGATGATGACAGAATCTTTACTAATCTGTATGGACGTCATGACTGGAGGTAAAATCAATAAAAATAAATAAAGTTTTACATTAAAATTCAAATATTAACAGTTGTTTTATAGACGTGCAAAAAATGGTATTATCAATGAACTAATCAATTTGGCCAAATTAAAAAAAAAAAAAAAAAAAGCCTTTTAATCAGCACTCAAGCAAATCGATTTCCTTAATTTATTTCCCAGACCAAAAATTCTGTGTGGATTGAAAGGTTTTTGATTCTGATAAATGTATTATTCTATGGACAAAATAAATTTCTGCACACCAATTGTTTTTATGTTCCAGTATACAGCCAAGTGCCTTTTTTTTTTTACATTTAACTGTGTTATTTATGACTCTGTAGACTGAAGGGTGCCCAGAGCCGTGGCGATTGGTACAAGACAAAGGAGATTCTCTTGAAGGGAGTGGATTGGATACTTGGAGAAATAAAGAGTTCTGGACTACGTGGAAGGGGAGGTGCTGGGTTCCCAACAGGTCTCAAGTGGAGCTTTATGAACAAACCTTCTGATGGGAGGTAACAATCTGTGCCATTGTTTCCATATTTCTCTTTAAACTGATCCATAAATGTGTCATACATGTAGTCTATTGTTCCAGTCTTTTGTCCTTTCTTAATATGTTTAAGATTACTTGTTTATTTAGAAATTAGTCTTTACAATCAAAAAACCATTGCAGTATATCCTCTTATATGACTATACAAACAGTATAATAAAGTTACACAGGATTATATATTTAAAATATATAGAAAATAATGAAGTCAATATTAGGTATTATATTGGACTGCAGACACAAAAAGGTCAATCTGTATAAATGAAAAAAATCTCAGGCACTCACTGTGATTTCTTCCAGGCAGTTTATTGCAACGTTTTGACCTGAAACCAGGTCTTTATCAATCTTGAAAAAAAATCTCAGGCACTCACTGTGATTTCTTCCAGGCAGTTTATTGCAACGTTTCGACCTGAAACCAGGTCTTTATCAATCTTGATAAAGACCTGGTTTCAGGTCGAAACATTGCAATAAACTGCCTGGAAGAAATCACAGTGAGTGCCTGAGATTTTTTTTCATTTATACAGATTGTATGGGGTTTGCTGACCCATGCTCAGTGCACCCTGTGTTACATTTTGTGATTGAGTGCAACCCTCCTTTCTCTCTTATTACAAAAAGGCCAATCGTCACAGAGGTTTGACTGGTGGAAAACATGATTGTTTCAGTTCCATAGCTAAAAAGTTCATAATTTCTGACATCTGTTTTGCTGATGATCCAAAAGATGACAAAAAACCTAGTTTAAAGTGCGTCCAATTTTGCAACAAACTAGGAAAAAAAACTCCTTGACCCCAGAATGGTAGTCAGATCTCTCATTGGATCAAGAAGACATTACCCAACTAATTAAACATTATATCCCTGAATATTGTGTTTTCTCAACTATTTATCCAATTGCTTTTTAAACCTCTTTATAGACTCTAATTATTGTTTGTAACAATGTTCTTCCTAATGAATTCCTGAATAGTATCCCTTAATAACCCTTGAACTACTTTCCTAGCCACAGAAATTAAGTGCACATGTCTATAATTTCCAGGCAAAGCTTTAAAAACCTTTTTTCTTAAGAGCGTGATATAAGAAGTTGTGAATGAAATGCGCTGTGCAGTAAAGGACATTTAAATATGAGATCTCTCCTTACAGCAAGTGCTTAAGGATATTGTGTAAGCCAGGCAGGGGAGGTTTTTGCCCTATCTGCATCAACAAAGTGAATTAATTCCAAAATGAATGAGACACTGAGACTGCAGGGACATGTTCTGTTCTCCAAAACCACTTAATTAAGCTTAAATTGTTTTGGTGCTCATATTGTCCCTTTTAACTGTTATAGCCCAGAGTTAACTGCTTTGCAGAAGTAGCAACCAGACTTTCTTACGGTTACCTACTGAATCTGAAAAAACAAGTTCTTAAGGCAGATCAAGTTCAGGCAGCACATAGAAGAATTTAAACTCCTCTCTAAAGATGTGAAAAGGCAGATGCTGGTTAAATGAGGCTAACTGTAGGAGAAATACTGGGAAGAGTAGTGGCACAAAGAAAATTTAAGCTTTCAGAGTAGGGAATGAGGCTGAGCGTAGGTAAAACTAATAAAACATACAAATATAATCAATCATTCATGCAGTGATATTAATGATTTAGAGCAGGGATAGACAACCTTTGCCACTCCAGATGTTGTTGACTACATCCCCTTTAATGCTATTACACCCATAATGCTGGCAAAGGAGGTGTAGTCCAAAACATCTGGAGTGCCGAACGTTGCCGATGCCTGGTTTAGAGTATTTAGAAACACGTCACGACTTGACTGTGAGGGTTTGGTCTCTGCTCTGAGTTTGGTGTGGTAATTGTTGTTGTGGGTTTAGGGGTATGCAACCTTTAGCACTCCTGTTGTTGTGGACTACATATGCCCTGATGCTTTTCCAGCATTATGGGAGATGCAGTTCACAACATTCTGACGTTCTGAAGATTGCCTCTCGGAGGTCTAAGCACTGGAAAAGGGAACAAAGTACAAGTCTCAGTCATCAGCAATTTTCACAACTGAACATTATATTGTATTGAGTTCTTTGACTTCAGATGTGATGTGCTTAAATCTCCTCTAGATAGTAGGGAAGTGCACATATTTCATACAGAGTTAAATGAGCACTTCTTAGTTGGGGCAGCAGGTAATGCATGCAAGCCACAATCCACCATGGACTGGAAGGATGGATGGCATGGAGGTGGTTTGGGAAATTCAAAAAGTTCTGGTTTAAGCTAGTTTTCTAGAAAGTTCTGTATTATAGAGTGTACAAATACTATACTGATTAGAATACACATTGGCCAGCCACTTATAAGGGCACTCCACTGCCCAATTAAAAAACACAAACACTGTTTAGTAGATATACATCCAATGAAAACATGGATATATATATATATATTTTTTTATTATTATTTTTTCTGTGCAGCAGATCTCTTGTCTTCGCAAGCCCTCTTTTTCTAATCCAGGCCAAACTTTCTGTGGCTGTCCAATCACAGACTTCTAATGCAGCTCAATGAGATGTCTTTGTAAGGCTGATACTCTTGAGTTTAGATCCACGGAGCTAAATAACCAGGAAGTAACAGGACTGGTTGTCTGATAGCCTCAGGGGTTAAACAAGGTTATTTTATCGAAGAGGGGAAAAAAAAGGGAAAACATAAAGCATTTCAGCAAGCTGGAGTGTCCCTTTATGCTGTGATTAAAGTGTAAGAAAGAAGCACTCCATAAAGTTTGTTTTGCATGTTTCTTTGTGGAAATAGGAAATTATCACTTACAATAGCTGCAGATTTAATATTTGCAGTTACTGCATGCCTTCATCTCTGTTCAATCAAAGACATTTTAATGAACTATATAACAGCTTATTAAGAAAACTTTGAAAGTTGGGCACTCTCTGCAAGCCCCTGTGTAGTTACACGAGGATAGCTGATGTACTGTATTTTTGTAGTGTTCATTTAAAGTGGAAATGTAGTTTTATTTTATTTTTATTTTTTATTCTCAAATTCCACCTGTTTTAATTATTTTTTTTTAATTCTTTTTTTTTCCTTTGAATTAGAGGTACATTCCAGCTGGCGTTGCCACAACAGCAAATACTGGCAGTTTAAAGACAATGGACAATAGTGTGGCATAGAATGCGACTGCACAATTTTTTATAACAAATATGCTTAATCTAGGAAACAAGATATTGGCCATTTGTGTCTTAGTTGCAGGCAGATTTGATGAAACCGGATGTAAAGACACCAGGGAGATGATCAACATTAAATATAACATGAGTGAAACACTGGAGTATGGATAACTAGCTAAACTTGCATGGGCCATAGGCACAATGATTACTACTTGTTAAAAAAAATAAGAGTGATATACGCTTGGAAAATAGATAAAGTGTAGTAATCAGGCTAGACATTAGTCTGTTGCTTGTATTCCCCTGGAGACTCCTATCAGGCTAATTAGTAGGAAAGGAGGCATTGGATGAAGTAGATGAGCGTCAAACTAGAGAGCAGACAGTGGAACTTGAACTATATGTGTGAGATTCCACAACCTAATTAAAGGACAGAGGGTAAAATAGCGGGCTGAGAGTGCTTTCACAAGCAGTCCAGGAGGTCAAGCTAGCCTATACTATACCAGTCTGGAGTGTATTCCCATAACTTAGAGCTGGACAGGCATCCTTGCTTAGTCGGGGTTCGGCAGGATGAGCCACATGACCCTATTAGAGACCTCTCCAGGACCGTCATCTGAGCATGGAATACCCAGTCGGAGCACCCCAGTGCTCTCTTGCATGTACTTTGCAGCTTGTCTTGCCGCCATGTTGAGGCGTGATACGTCGCGGTGGCTGTGGATCTCTTTTGTGGCTTCGGAGTAGGCTTTTGAGGTAAGTTATCTCCCGCTTGGCTGTGGCCAGCATGGCATATCCGACTTTCCACCTTGTACCAGAAGTCCTCAAAGATTTCATCCAGCCTGGACAGAATATCAAATCTACCCCCTGAGATGCAGGAGACCCCCGCGGCCGCCGCCATTTTAAGTGTGTCACCTGAGGTGAAGGTGCAGTGATGCCTCCTGGGGGTAGACTGGCACCACCCGCACTGGTCCAAGGGGTTGTGGGGGGGGGAGGGGGGGAGTAGGAGACCAACAAGCCTGTTCCAGGGAGTAGAGGGTGAGGAGAGTGGCTGTCTCTCCACAGCTCCTTCGTCTGTAAGTTGCAGTGCTTTGATGCCTGCTCCCGGAGGCTAATTATGGCAGATGAGGTATCCTCAGATTCGTCGTTTGGCTCTTAGTGTGGATAAGTCACTGAGGGGTAGTTTCAGGCTAGTGGGTCAGGGATTTCATCTCTTTTATTACTGATGTGCAGGAGCCAGCTTGGCACGCTTCTGTTCAGCTTGTCCACTAGGCTCCGCTCCCCACCTGTTTTCATTTTTTTAATTTACATTAGAGCATACCATGTAGTATAATACTGTAGAATGAATGGCCAGAGTGTGTGCATATGCTTCAGTACACATGATTACTTTTCCCTGGACACAGGAGTACTGTGGAGTTACATTCGGGTTTTTCACTTGCTCCTGTACTACAGATTGCAATAAGTGCCTCCATGTCAGAGGCAGCAGCGACAGAAAATAAAGTGGGAGCCATATAATAAAATAAAAATAATGAATTGTCGGGCCCAAAGTTGTCTCCTTTCTAGATCTATAGTCTGTCTCCCTGAGCCTGGCCTTCCACTCAGAGACCAGTCTATGTTTAAATTATACCTGCCTTAATACACTCTCTGCACTTGTAGATTCAGCCAGGAAATGCTGAGGATCATGGTCTGCTAAATCAATTCATGGGAGCTGCACTTCTGTGGAGATTGGATACGTAATTGTAAAATTCAGCTTAGTGTATATTCTGTGTAGTGATGAAGGCACCTTGTGAGTCCAGGGATACTCTGGTTGCAGGTGTTTGAGCATAAGAATGCTTTCCCACGAAAACAATAAAGCCTAGCATCTTCATTTAGACCCTACTCAGAGTTCCACTTCTGTATTGAAGTGGTTATGATGCCAGGGTACTGTTCCTGCACCATATAGTTAGACATTTCTCAAAATGACAAAATAGGGCTTGAAAGTGGAACTCCCAGCAAGTTGACAGTGACATACTAGTTAAATTGTATGAGTAGCATGCAAGCTGGGAAGTATAATTCCAGGCTTACGAATTAACAGGGCTGTTACAGAGCAAGATGCTCAAAATATAAGCCCTATTTTGTTAATATAACAAATTAATCAAGCAGAAGGGGGGTGCAGGGACATTGCATTGGTACCATAAATGAAATGCAATAAGCAGAAATAGTTATAATAAAAACCAATTTCATTATTGGAGGTGAAGTTTTTAAATGATGACATCATTTGTGTAGTCCTATTCAAGAACAGGTCACCATGAAGCTGTCTGTAATGTCCCTGGATATGTGTACAGTATATCACCACCTCTAAAATTCCTTTTGTTTTAAGGTAAACTTTTCATAATAAAAATAAATTATATAGTCCCCTTGTTAAATATTTAGCTTGCCTTTGCATTATTGTAGTTCCATAACATTCTTTTTTTAAACCTGGTGCCTAAACTTGCAACTGACCATCCGATTGATCAACTGGTTCTCTTAAGAAAATACTAATTTCAGTGCTTTCCTATTAGCTGCATTTGATGATGTTTAATGTCCTCATGGACATCAAACATCACATGACCAAGTTCACTGATATTCCAGCACAATAAAAATATATTCTAAGACAAAATAGGGACTATGTTTGTGGTTTTTTTTTTAATCTATTTATTTTTATACATATTCCCTATACCTGACAAAACGTGCTAAATGGCTGAACTACTGCCATCAAATTTTGTACTTTTCCGCCACACTGTAAGCAGCAATGTCACCATCTAGGTTCTTTTTAAAATATACAAAGACCCTAGATGATGACAGAGCAACATTAACTGAACAACTATTAAAGAAGGGGATTTATTCACTAAGCAGCCAATTGTGATAAATTACAAGCTGAATTGCAAAATGTAGGTCAAAATAGTCTGTTTGGCTCTTTAGCCTGAATGTTTTCATTTTAGTCAATAAACCCTTTTTTGCAGTTTAGTAAATAAACACCTCTAGTGCTACGGAATGTGATGGCACTATATAAATAATATAATAATGTTTATACATCCTGATTAAACTGGTGTTAATCTATCTGGTCTTGCATCATGTGCGTATAACTTTTGATGTCCATTCCCAGATAAACAGAATAAATAGAAGTGGAACTAGGACAAAAAAACTCACTGTTTGGGGTTTAAAGGGACACTCCAGTCTCATTAAGGCATTCAGTAATCAATTGTTTCAAGTAGTATATGCCTGTAGCGGTTGCCAGCCACTAGAGGCATGTTTTTTTGACAAAATGTAAACATTACCTTTTTGTCAGTCAGTGTTTTGTACACTGCCAGATAAAGGGTGAAGCATCCGAGCACCAAATCCAGTTTATTAAAATGGTTGATTTTGGTGCTTAAAGTGTACCTTTTAACCTATGGTGCCTGAATTGTTAAACTTTGGAGACACCCATGTCGTTTTCTAATTTCAGTACTGTCTTGTGATTATATTATTTACATAGCACCAGCAAAATTCTGTAGCGCTGTACAACGGGTGGACTAACAGACAGGTAATTGTAACCAGACAAATGGATGCACAGGGACAGAGGGGTTAAGTGCCCTGCTCAATGAGCTTACATGCTAGAGGATGAACCCTTTGTAATTGCCATATTTTTCTGCTTATTTGCATTGATTATGTTTTGAATGGGGTAGGAGAAAAAATGTTGTCAATCTCAGAAGTTTGTGTGTGTTTGGTTTTCTTGTTTTTAATTTTTTTATTCTACTCTATTCAGACCCAAGTACCTTGTAGTAAACGCAGATGAGGGCGAGCCTGGAACTTGCAAGGACAGAGAAATCATGAGACATGATCCACACAAGCTAGTGGAAGGATGCCTCGTAGCTGGGCGCTCCATGGGTGCACGAGCCGCATACATCTATATTAGAGGTGAATTTTACAATGAAGCATCCAACCTCCAGGTGAGTAGTAAGAAATGATTGATCCATGGGTAGAAAAGAAGTTGGGCGTGTTATTTTGGATTTTACTAGGGATTCCTAATTTTTACTTTGATTACATTACCTAAAAACTGATCGTTTAACTCCCTACATGTGTCACTTTTTTTTTTTTTGTTTAGGTTGCAGTGCAAGAAGCATACTCTGCTGGCCTGATTGGTCACAACGCTTGTGGCTCTGGTTATGACTTTGATGTGTTTGTGGTGAGAGGAGCTGGCGCCTACATATGCGGTGAAGAGACTGCTTTGATAGAGAGCATTGAAGGAAAACAGGGGAAACCACGGCTTAAACCTCCATTCCCAGCTGATGTTGGTATGATAAAATCTTTGTGAAATACTCCTGTTGACTGCATATGAATTTTATTCTAATTTAAATCTAATTAAAATAAATCATAAGACAGAGTAGTGGTTACTCTCTCTTAAAAGTTAAAAAAAAAGGTCTATTTCCCTGTCACTAGTGTCAGCTGTGGGGAAACTGACATCTTCTCATGCATCACACGAGTAGATTTATACAGGATCCTGCGGTCTTATGGGGTTATCGATAGAAAGTTAGATTAGTGAGTGTGCCACAGACATCCCACTACTTGTAAGAATTTTTGAAAGCCACAATTTATTGTAACGTATAGCTGATAACTGTAGCTATCCTGGTCAGGCAGCTGCATTCTTTTAGACCATTAAGCCCCACCTTTTACTCCTCTTCTACTCACCATGTGACGGTGCTTAGTGGGAAATTATTTATTCGTTTTCGGTAGTTTACTATTTATAGGATTATTGCAGTTGACCCATTTTTACGTAAAAGAAGATAATTGACCTGCATTTTAAAATTGCATTTAAGGGAACACTCAAAGCACCAAAACAACTATAGTGTGTTTTAGTGGTTATGGTGCCTGGTGGCCCCCAAACTGTGTGTATTCTTATATGGCATCTGCCGAGTTCTGGTCCCCGCCACCAGACTCCCTCTTTACTGAGCTAAACTTAGCTCATCAGCAATCAGCTCATGCTCAATGGGCTGGCTCTGCACTGCTATATTCAGCCCAGGCGAACTAACAGAAGCTGAGATTCTGAAGACCTTAGCTTTTATTCCTTGCTGAAGACAGTTACTTTAGATGTGCCCAGCTGCATGCTAAGGTAGCAATGGATCCCAGGAATTATTTTTGGGGGCTTCTCTATGATCATGTTGCGTTGCAGGGGCGAATGCGCACTAGCATAGAATAGAGCTGTTGATGGACAGTGTTTCATTAAAGTGGCTTTTCCAAGTGGAGATTAAAAAAACTTGAAAAAGCCACTTTTGTATAACGTGTTGTGGATATTTTATACATTTTCTTTTATATCATTTTATTTTATTTATTTTTTAATACTTTTATGGTCTTAATACTGATGAAACATCTGTCTATCAACATTTCCTCATGTATCTTATAAGTGGAGATTATACCACTGTATGCCATTCATACTAGAGCTGGTTTTAAGCTCTATTAAACGTGAGTAGGACTACACAAGACTTATTTCATTGTGAATATATACTTCTGGGATATTCTGCACCATTAGTCTTTTATCTCTGTTTTAACATATGGCTCCAAAGAATACCTTGACCTGGCTTTTTTTATACAAGAATTTCCCTGACAGAACTGAGGCTATATCTTCTGGCAAGTTTTACATTGGTGCATTATATAGGACATTTTATTGTTCTTATTTACCGTATATACTCGTGTATAAGTCGATCTCATGTATAAGTCGAGTCCAGTTTTGTGACCAATAATTGTGAAATATGCTATGCCTCGTGGATAAGTCGAGGGTAAAACTTGGGGCTATGAAAATCTGTGATTTTTATAATTATATACACACACACACTCATAAACACACACTGTGCATTATATACACACACTCATACAAACACACACTCTGCATTATATACACACATTCTGTGTATATAATGCGTAGTGTTTGTGAACTAAGTGGGGGGAGGGCATTTTTATTATTTAAAATTTTTTTATTTTAATATTATTATTTTTTTATTTTAATTTTTTTTTGTCCCCCCTCCCTGCTTGTTAACTTGTCAGGGAGGGGGGCTATCTTAATCCCTGGTGGTCCAGTGGGGGGGGCCGGCAGGAAGCATTTATTTACCTTTCCTGCAGCTCCTGTCTCCTCCGTTCCGGTCAGCTCCACTGTAAGTCTCGCGGTCTGGTTGCCGCGCGGATCGTTGCCATGGCTCTGACGGCCGCGGCTCTCTAAGTTGCCATAATACAGACAGTGATTCGAGTATAAGTCGAGTGGGGGTTTTTAAGCACAAAAAATGTGCTGAAAAACTAGACTTATACTTGAGTATATACTGTACTTGGTGCCTATTCATTTAAATTCTCTATTTTGCTTTGGTTGATTAGCGCTGATCCTTTTGGCTCTACTTTTTTTTTTTTTTATATAGAAATGTTTTTATTATATATTAGATTATACAGACCACATTAAAAGACAGATATTATACATAGACCATATAATACCAAAGTTAAATACTTATAATATTATTTAGTATATTTCTCAGATTAAGTCATTTGTCAACACCATTACCGACCCACTGCCAAACCGGTCATGCTGGAGGATGTTGCAGGTAGCAGAACGTTCTCCACGGCGTCTCCAGACTCTGTCACGTCTGTCACATGTGCTCAGTGTGAACCTGCTTTCATCCGTGAAGAACATAGGGCGCCAGTAGCGAATTTGCAAATCTTGGTGTTATCTGGCAAATGCCAAACGTCCTGCACGTTGTTGGGCTGTAATCACAACACCCACCTGTGGACATCAGGCCCTCATGGAGTCTTTCTGACCGTTTGAGCAGACACATGCACATTTGTGGCCTGCTGGAGGTCATTTTGCAGGGCTCTGGCAGTGCTCCTCCTGTTCCTCCTTGCACAAAGGCAGAGGTAGCGGTCCTGCTGCTGGGTTGTTGCCCTCCTACACCCTCCTCCACGTCTCGTGATGTACTGGCCTGTCTCCTGGTAGCGCATCCATGCCCTGGACACTACGCTGACAGACACAGCAAACCTTCTTGCCACAGCTCTCATTGATGTGCCATCCTGGATGAGCTGCACTACCTGAGCCACTTGTGTGGGTTGTAGACTCCGTCTCATGCTACCACTAGAGTGAAAGCACCGCCAGCATTTAAAAGTGACCAAAACATCAGCCAGGAAGCATAGGAACTGAGTAGTGGTCTGTGGTCACCACCTGCAGAACCACTCCTTCATTGGGGGGGTCTTGCTAATTGCCTATAATTTCCACCTGTTGTCCATCCCATTTGCACAACAGCATGTGAAATTGTCATTCAGTGTTGCTTCCTAAGTGGACAGTTTGATTTCACAGAAGTGTGGTTGGCTTGTAGTTACATTGTGTTGTTTAAGTGTTCCCTTTATTTTTTGAGCAGTGTAGTTTAACCCCTTAATGACCAAACTTCTGGAATAAAAGTAAATCATGACATGTTACATGTCATGTGTCCTTAAGGGGTTAAGCTATTGTTTTGAGTAGGAAATTCCCCTCTCCATTTCAAGTTGGCATATCAATTGTTTTTTTTTATACTGAGTAAAATCTGGCATTGATATTTTTTTTCCAAGATCTTGCAATGGTTATTTTTGCGGACATAAGACAGTGAAGAATAAATATTTGGTGTTTTTTGGGAGTTTACCCCATTTGAGATGAAGTAGGCCAGTTTCTGGGGATTTCCTTAGGTTTATATTAAAAACTGACTAGTGGAATATATTGAGTCCCAGAATGTAATTATTCTTGGACACTTCCACCAGATATGTATCATAGATTCTTCATGGGCTAGGCATCTCCAGCAGAGTGGGGAGTTAGTCGCAAGGCTATAAGGTGAATTTTTTTTTTTTTAAGTTCCAGTATTGCTTATCTTCTTTTCTCCAGTGGCTTTCCTGGATGAAAGATATCTGGGCTCTTTCTCTCAAAATAGTATTATACAAAAATCCTCTCTTATTTGGGGAATTTAGCCCTTGCGCATTAATGGATATTAAATCATTTTGATTTTTCCAATACATTTTTTTCCATTAACTTTCTATATTCACATTTCTTAATCAAAGCTAATCCTGCTATACTCCACGCCGCACAAAAACAATATTTACAACAAGACAACATAAATTTATGTATGTTAAAAAACCTCATACACAAAAAACCATTGCAAAAATTGCAGCGATTATAGGTTGGAAGAAGTCTCCAACATCAAAGTATCAAATATGATACCGACAGGGAGGGAGATAAACTCTACATTAAAGAGATATATTCTACTTATTCAAAAGGTTCTTAACATGTCTGAATCTTTTCTTTTCCTCCTCTTTTTGTGCTTTGAAATAGCTTTAGGTGACAAAAGTATGGTATTTAGGAACTCGCACATTTCTTATCCTTTTTCGTTCTTTCTCATCCCTTTTTCTTCCCTTCTGTTTTCCGTTACCCCTCCCCTTTCTTTTTTTGTTTCTTTTTTGATTCCTTTCGCTTTTCTTTGTTTCCCTTCTCCCTTTTTCTTTCTATTTTTAGCTTTAGTTCTTTCCTCAGCTTCCCCTCTCTTCTCTCCATTTTTCTCTTCCTTTCTTTCACTTCTTCTCTTCCTCATAGATAACTTTTTTTTTATCGACTTCTCTCTATTTCTTTCTCTCTGTCTTCTATCTTTATCTACCTAGGATTTTAACTTGTGTTTTTAATCTTAATCAATAAGTTGACACATATGTGATATTATATTAATAAAAAAAAGTAAATTCTATGGTGTTATCAAGTCTACGTGGTTAGTGTGCAAAATGAAATTATCATATTGTTTCCATTTCTTTGAGAAAAACAACCCCTTTAGGCTTAGTTAATTTTACTATATTCCGCTTATCAGTCATCTATAATTATTGGTATATCTTAAAGTAGTGAAATAAACAAATTGTGTTTAAAAAATTTTTTTTTAATTATTTCTCTTTTTCAATATCTAGCATAGTTATTTTATATTCTTTATCTATATAGTGCATGTGATGCCTTATTATGTATAAGCCTAAAAATTTGTTTATAAGTGTAATAAATCAATCTTGGTGATCATTCCTAGCACACAAAAAAAATGTAATTCTCTTTTTCAATATTTAGCATACTTATTTATATTCTTAACTCTATAGTGCTTGTGATGTGCAAAAAAAAAGATTTATCTATATGGCACTTCCCACTCATCTGATCGTCTGTTATTATAAATATATCTTAAAATGAGAGACACAAAGTGTTTAAAAAAAAAAAAAAAAAATCATAAGGAGAGAGAAAGCCTTGCGTAATTCTCTAAGTTCTTCTTAGCTATTTCCGATTGTATTTCAAATTTATGTTCAGCCATTCTTTTGCCGTATCGTAAGTCTTAAATGTTTGCCAGTCGTTATAATGCAGGATCTGTAGCGAGGATGGGTATCGCCAACTAAATTTTAAGTTATGTTTTGTTAATATCTGGAAGATTGGAGAGAATTCTCTTCTTTTGTTCTTGTAGTATAATCTGGAAGGGCGTATATTTCTTTAAATTTTTCTTCAGTAGGTTTATTCTTTTTCAGTGATGACAAAATACGATTCTTGGTTTCATATGAATGAAATGCAACTATAACATCTCTTGGGAAATTGGGGTTAACAGTAGATGGTTTAAAAATTCTGTGGCAGCGATCCATTTTAATATCGTGGGGATCTAATGAGAGACTTAGGATTGAATAAAGTTCTTTCATGCAGTCTCTTAAAGGAACACTATAGTCACCTAAATTACTTTAGCTAATTAAAGCAGTTTTAGTTTATAGATCATTCCCCTGCAATGTCACTGCTCAATTCACTGTCATTTAGGAGTTAAATCACTTTGTTTCTGTTTATGCAGCCCTAGCCACACCTCCCCTGGCTATGATTGACAGAGCCTGCATGAAAAAAGAGAACTGGTTTCACTTTCAAACAGATGTAATTTACCTTAAATAATTGTATCTCAATCTCTAAATTGAACTTTAATCACATACAGGAGGCTCTTGCAGGGTCTAGCAAGCTATTAACATAGCAGGGGATAAGAAAATCTTAATTAAACAGAACTTGCAATAAAGAAAGCCTAAATAGGGCTCTCTTTACAGGAAGTGTTTATGGAAGGCTGTGCAAGTCACATGCAGGGAGGTGTGAGTAGGGTTCATAAACAAAGGGATTTAACTCCTAAATGGCAGAGGATTGAGCAGTGAGGCTGCAGGGGCATGTTCTATACACCAAAATTGCTTCATTAAGCTAAAGTTGTTCGGGTGACTATAGTGTCCCTTTAATTTGTCGTCTGTAATATTTTCTGGGATGTTTTTAACTCTTAAATTTGTTCTACGGGCGCGTTTTTTCAAGTCGGCTATTTTCTCTTCCAGTGACAATATATTTGCCTCCATTTTATTATGTGTTTCTTTAAATACTTGAAATTCCATATGTTCTTCTTTCTCTTCAATACTTTGAATCCGGGTGAGAACTTTAGAAATGTCGCTTTGAAGATCTATAGAATTATCTTGGATTTCTTTCTTTATTTCTTTAACCCCTTAAGACCGGAGGGCGTACAATTACGCCCTATTTTAGGCGGCTCAAAACACCGCCGGGCGTAATTGTACGCCCTCCGGTCTTTTCTTACTTACCCAGTCGCCGGCGGTCCGGACTCCCAGGGAGCCCCCCCGCGGTAGATCCTCTTCCTCCGGTGCCCCTCTGCCATGTGAGAGTGAGGTCCTTGCGAGGACCCCACAATCACATGGCCGGGGGTAGCTGCCTCCTGCATTGCCAGCAGGGGGGCTGCCTGTAATGACAGGTGGTCCCCCTGCTGGCTGGAAATGAAATTTAAAATAAAATTTATTAAAAAGTAAAGTGTTAAAAAAAATAAATAAATAAATAAATAAATAAATTATATATATATATATATAATATTTTAATAGTAAAATACACCTAGACAGTGTGTGTGTGTGTGTGTGTGTGTATATATATCTCAAATTACACGTAGACTGATACTGATTAAATGTGTTTGTGACCAAATGGCTACTAAAAAAAGACTGGACATACCCAATTTGCAATACCTTGGGTTGTCTACTATTGCAAATGGTATGCCCTTGTGGGTGTAAATTTCATTCCTGTGTTACTATAAAGTCCCAAAGGCAACTTAACCAATCTGGCAAATTTCAATTTCAAATGTAACGTGCTATATTTGACCCTGTAACTTCCCAAAACGCCATAAAACCTGTACATAGGGGGTACTGTCTTACACGTGAGACTTTACTGAATACAAATATGTGTATTTTATTGCAGTAAAAGCAAACAGTATTATGACATTGACCGTTAAAATGTCATGTAGAACAAAAAAAAAATCATATTTTCTCCAATTGTTTTCATATTAAATTATGTTTCATAGCTAAATATTTGATATTAAATGAAAGCCCTGTTTCCCCTGAATAAAATGATATATAATAAGGGTGAGTGCATTTACTATTAAAGAGTTGAATTACGTTCGGACAGACATGTAGCGCAAATGCCAGGTTTTGTTTACATTTTGTTTCGTTCGCAACGTGTACATTTGGCTCCGTCCTTAAGGGGTTAAGGAGAGAAAAAGGTTGATAATCTTGTCTCTTGTTTAGTATGTTTTTTTTTTTAGTCATTTTTTTGTATTAATTCTGGGATCTTGAGAGCGCTTAGTTGCCATTATGCTGTCTAATTATATTAGATCTTCAATTAAAAAAAAAAGAAAGAAAGGCAATTACAGGAGAAGCAATTCGGTAAAATAAGATAGTTTCTTCTTTTTTTTTTTTTTTGCTATCCTTATCTTCTTGTACTTGATCTTTACTTTGCTTTCCTATATTTTCCTTTTTCTTGTATGCGGTCTTAATATGTTGGATATATAATTCAGTTACTTTGACTTCTCTTTCTTGCTCTTTATTCACTTAATGTTTTTCTTTTTCTTTGCTGTTATCTTTTATATTTGTTCTTTGCCTTTCCCTTCCAGCAGATTCTTTTTGAGGTTTTAGTTTGTATGTTCTTATTCTTATCTTTTAATATTCTGGGATAAGGATTTAACCCCTTAAGGACCAAACTTCTGGAATAAAAGAGAATCATGACATGTCACACATGTCATGTGTCCTTAAGGGGTTAATAAATGTGGCAAAAAGAAACTGAAAGTCTCAGAGAATTGATTATGATGTTAATTTCTTGAGTACTGCAAAACGGTTAATTGATATGAAAGGTTACGGTAATCCTTTGTCTCTTATGATTTAGTATGAAACCGTATTCCGTCTACTAAGATATCATTTGGAGTTACTTTCCTTTCACATTTATTTGCTTTCTTTTGGGGGTGTAATTACAGTTGTTCTCTTCTTTAATCAGTTTAAGGGATTTGCAGATTCTACTCAGCAGACCCCAAAAAAAACCCATTAAAGTCTTCAGTAGATAATGATGGTCAAAATCTAGTTTCTTTGAAGTTAATTTGCATAGACCGCTTATTTGATAGATTTATGGAATTCATGTATCTCTTATAACTTAATATGGGACATTACTTGCCAACCAGTTATATCTTAATTTGCGGTTGCACTTCTTATAATTTATCTTTGTTCTTCCTCCTATTTCCCTTTTATTTTTCTCCTCTCTTTCTCCTTTCCTTTCCTTCTTTATCTCTTTATTCTTTACTTTCTCTTAGCCTTTCCTTCTTTCTGTCCTCTTTCCCCTTTCCTTTTTTTTTTTTTTTAGTCTCTACTTTTTTAATTGGCATAAAATGAAATGTAGCAATGCATAGTAACAGAGTGTAACAAGGCACAAGTCAGACACACCATGGAAAACTACAATGCTGAACACAGAATAGCCAATGCATAATTAGAAATTGATAAAGCAAGACTGACAATACATGGAAGAAAACATTTGAGTGACACAATGCAGAGAGCAAAAACAGTGTCATTGACAGTTATATAACAAGACTGGAAATGCACTGCACAAAATCAACAGGACAATGAATAATGTCCCAATGTGTAGAAAGAAAACTCAAGCCTGTATATTGCGCAACCTGACCTAATTTGTCAGTTTATATAATTTAGATGTCATGTCTGGCTGCATACATTGGGTATAACTGGCAAAGTATGTCTAGCAAATTAAGGGAAATGCATGTATGGAACGCATACTGAATTTGAAAGAAAAAGTGGTATTAACAGCATATATTTTCTTGCTGTGGCTGTGAAAAACTCGTGTTTGGAAATGTAGAAAGCAATTTTTGAATAGTGACATTCCATTATAAAGTTACGTTACCATTGAGATAATAAAATACTTGCATTTTTAATTGCACTAAAACCAAAAAAAGCTAAATGCATAAGTCATAAAATAACAACCTCCACGTAAAAGAAAAAGAAGTCTCAAGTTGTTTGCAATGCTATTGTTTTGATCTATAATCGTCTCAGAAATCCTAGGATGTCTGTGGACCATGTGTAGTGGGTACAGAATCTGCATAGACTGACAAGCATCGGAACGCTTTGACAGCGTGTCAGTGTTGCAATGCTTGGGCCGGCTCTTCAAATCTGTTGATGGATTTCTCGTGCTTGAGACATCCAGCACTAGTCCGATACATGCTGTAAAATTTACTTATACTGGCATCTACAGTATGCACTAGTGCTCAATAAGGAAGGGCTATTGTCTCTATGGATTGTGTCATTACTGAGCAGAACAACCAAAGCCAGCCAAATCTGTCCAGAGTTGTCACAATTTAGATGGGTATTTTTTTTAAATTTTTTTGGGAAGTTACAAAGTGTGTTTGCCTTTTTCCCACCCCTTTCTCAGGAGTCTTCGGCTGTCCAACAACAGTTGCTAATGTGGAAACCGTTGCAGTGGCTCCTACCATTTGCCGACGTGGGGGTAGCTGGTTTGCTGGTTTTGGACGTGAAAGAAATTCAGGAACCAAATTGTTCAACATCTCAGGACATGTAAACAATCCATGTACTGTAGAGGAGGAGATGTCCATCCCACTAAAAGAGCTGATCGAGAGACATGCAGGTAATATTATTGGAGAAGATCATTGTCACAGACCAAACTATTGTCTTAGCTGTGACAGTGGGGAGTGTGTGGGTATGAAAGGGTTGAGAGCACCTGACCTCTAGTTACTTTATACCTATTCCAGTATCTAAAGTATACTGCTACTTTACAATAAAAAATAGGGGGTTGTGAGTTTGGATGCCAGAGTCTAAAGATATTGTTAGATTTGCATTATTTTAATAAAACACAAGAAAAATTAATAATCAACCGCAGACTTAACAGATGTTAAATATTGAGTAGAAGTTAACCTTGTATATGCCAGACTGCCACTATATGTGATCCTCTGTCTTTCCAAGCAATCTTCCCCACTTGACAAAATGACCAGTTTACAACACCTATACTCCAAACAGGTCTGTGATGTACATACTTCTAATAATCACATAAAACTGAGCTCCCTGATAAAAAGACCATTTTAGAATTTCTGATTTGTTACAATTTTCCTATGCTCCAGACATCCAACAGGTCAAACTTGAGTCTTAGGGCATCTCCTAACTCCCCAAGTGGCTCAATTAAAACCTTGTTTGTAGTCATTCTTTACATATCTTGATTTGGAGACCTCACTGCATCATTTTAATTATGTATAGCATTAGATGGTTATGTTGCTTTATTGACTTATCTATTCAGATTATAGATTTTGAATATCCCAGAAAGTGGCCTCTTGTTAACCTCTGCATGACATTCCTGGTAGGCCACAATTGCTTTATCTGTTTTCTCTTTTTTGAACCGAGTGCTCGGATTCATGATTTTACCCCAGGTACCTGGATTCATCCATCTGGTGCTCTAGAAGATGCAGTATATCCACAATAATAAATAGTGCTTACTGTCAGAGCTTTGGTTCCTGCCTTTGCTATAAGATTGTCTGTTAACTCCTGAAAAAGTGCTACAAACAGGCAACCTGGTTAACCTCCGCAATGTTGGCATAAAATTTGAGCATACCACATTTGTCTCGGTTCTCTTTAACTTGGCCAGTAAAAAGGATTTAGAGTTGTGATATTGCTATATGACCTAAGGTAAGTTAGAAAGTAGCATTAAAGGGACACTATAGGCACAAAACAACGTTAGCTTCAAGGACCACTATAGTGCCAGGAAAGCAAACTCGTTTTCCTGGCACTATAGGATCTCTAGGTCCCCCCCCACCATCAGGGTCCCACTCCCGCTGGGCTGAAGGCGTTAAACACTTATCTTTCTCCAGCGCCGGGCTCCCTCGATGCTGGGGAACTCTCCTCCCTCTGCCGACGTCAGAGCGGAATGCGCATGTGCGGCAAGAGCCGCGCGCGCCTTCAAACAGTCCATAGGAAAGTATTTCTCAATGCTTTCCTATGGACGTCCAGCGTCTTCTCACTGTGATTTTCACAGTGGGAAGCGCCTCTAGCAGCTGTCAATGAGACAACCACTAGAGGCTGGATTAACCCTAGTGTACACATACAGCTGCAGCTAGATGGACCTTGCACCCAGACCACTTCATTGAGCTGAAGTGGTCTGGGTGCCTAGAGTGATCCTTTAACCCCTTAAGGACACGACGGAAATATTCTGTCATGATTCCCTTTTATTCCAGAAGTTGTGTCCTTAAGGGGTTAATGAAGCAATTTTGGTGTATAGGTTATGCCTCTGCAGTCTCAATGCTCAATTATTTGCCATTTAAGAATTAAATCACTTTTTAAGGTGACTTGGTGTTCAGGGGGCGTAAAGTTCTCCATCAATCTTGATGATCTCAGCCAAGGAGGCTGGCACAGCAAAATCTGTAAGCTAAGTTAAACTCACCATTGAAACCCTCACAGGCATGGATGGGGATTTAAATAAGTATATTAAAACTATAGCGCTGGAAATACATGTTTCTATTAATGCTATAGTGTTCCTTTAAAGTGAAACTGTAGGCATTTTAAATTATGCCATTTAGTTCTGTCCCTTTTATTCAGTGTTAAGCACCAGAACCACTATGTTAGGCTGTGCTGGGACAAAGAACATGTCTCTGCATGTTGACCATTTCAGGCAGTAATTACATTTCTCTCTAAGGCCACCTCTAATGTCTGTCACTCTGTCGTTTTGGTGCAAGTCAGTGCATTTCTACAAGGGAAGCATTGGATTGCCTGGGCTCATCTATAATGATTTTCTCAGCCTATGGAGCAGCAACAGTCGTGGCAAGAACTAAAGGAAATAAAAAGGAAAACACTCTAACGTTCGGAAAATATGTATGTATTCTTAGCATTAGAGTGTTCCTTTAAACTGTTTTGAATGGTCTAATGCTAAATGAGAGCTGCAACAGCTTCTGATAAGATTGATAATAATCAATTATGAAATCGTTGTCGACAAATCTCCGTATCGTCTAGTTGTATCTCTGTCTCACTCATCTAGGCCTGGGCTTCTGGCCTATTTGAAAATTACATTTTGAAAGTAGTTTGACAGGGAACAGAGGGATGGTGCCAGGAATCTCCAGACACTATATAACCAAATTCAAGATTCGGATGAAATGGTTATAGTGCTTAAAGTGTACCCTTTAAGTGTATTTTGCAACAACTTTAAATTCAACCAAATATTTTACTGTGCATCAGCTGGATGTTAAAGTTTGGTGACTAGGTTTCTATAACACATTTTCCTACAGGAGGAGTCACTGGAGGCTGGGATAACTTACTTGCTGTAATTCCTGGAGGTTCCTCTACACCCCTCATCCCACGATCAGTTTGTGAGACTGTTCTTATGGATTTTGATGCCCTTGTCCAAGCTCAAACTGGACTTGGTACAGCAGCTATCATTGTGATGGATAAATCGGTGAGTTGCAAAATGCATTTTTTTTATTTATTTTTTATTTTAGAAAACCTGTGTTAAACTGTTAAACAGAAACATAACATTGTAATAGAGGAACAAAATGAAAGAACCAACACAAATAAAATTGTCCTGCCAGAAAAACAAACTTAGTAACCAGTGTAGGCATTAACAAGAGTTGATTTTATGTTGATATATTAGAGGAGAAAATGTATTGTTAGATGTCTTCATTTCTGCTGTAGAAAATTGAAGAATTAAACTGTTTGCATGCTGAGACTCTTATCTTCCAATACTAATTAAATCTGAATAAAATGGTCCATTCTATAACCGTAATGAGACCTACATTCATCAAGTAATCAAACTTCCCCAGGCCATCAGAGGAATTCATGACAGCTCTGTGTGAGCGTGGCAATTTACCAGGGTATTGTGTGAATTGCCTCCAAGGAGGCAATTTACCAGGGTATTGTGTGAAAGGAAAATGGAAGAACGAGTGTCCTATATCATTCAACTGTTTAGATGTCTTTCCAATACTATATACTCCAATTTGTAATATATAACTTAGGGAAACCTTTATGTCAGGGGCTTCTTGAAAATATCATAGTTAAGCCTAGACCAGATGAGGAACTATTATCTGCCCAAATGCAAACCTAAAAAGTCACGTTTTAGTAGATATACCCCCAACTACAACGTGCATTTGTTTCATTTGGGGATGTATCTAAAACCAGCTTGCAGATCTCTGAATCCTTTGCAAATCCTCCCCTTCTAACCCTGCAGCCTTCAGTCGCTGTCCAATTACAGACTTCCCAGTGCAGCTCCATGAGAAGTCGTTGCAAGGCAAATGCTCTGAGCAATTGCCTACCTCTTGAGTTTAGCTCCACTGAGGTGCCCACCTCCAGAGTTTTTGCTACACTGATGTGTTTGACAGCCAGAGCGCGTAACATGATTAATTTCTACATGCTGTTCACGCATAAAGCACTTTGTGGCTTTAGGGATCTAGAATGTACCTTTTTAAGGATTTATATTCATCCCAATAATTTGAACTGAGCATGGTTCCATTTTAAATCATCATCACAGATGATCTCAGGCAATATAATGCTTCCCCTTGGACAAGCCTTGGTTGGAGCTAGTGTGCATGCTCAGCAATTGCCATGCTATGACCAGTAAGCGTTATGCATTCCCATGCGTGGAGATGGTGAACGTTGATCCTGCAGTTCTTGGAGGACCTTATGCAGGAAGTCCCTCTAGTAACTGTTAAGACAGCAATATAAATTCTGCCTTTTCTCAAACAACTACATTTAGCTGTAGTGGTTTTGGTGTGAAGTGTCCCTTATTTATACAGTGGGCAGCCAATCAGTACATAACATCTCCATTAGAAATTAGAAGCACATTTATTTTTTTTCCCCCCCAAAAAATGTAATTTTAATTGTTATTTTATTATCATGATCCATTAATCAACTTGATTTATGTATTGACTGCTCACCACTTACTCTTTTAATGCAGACTGATATTGTCCGTGCAATCGCTCGTCTTATAGAATTTTATAAGCATGAAAGCTGTGGTCAGTGCACACCATGCAGAGAAGGTGACTTTAAAAAAAAAAAAAAAAAAAAAACTTTAAATAATTGTTTCTAAATGTTTTATTAGCTTAAAGCGAATCATTTTTTCTTTCTTAGGAGTTGATTGGATGAACAAAATAATGTGGCGGATGTGCCGTGGTGATGCTCGTGTGGCTGAAATTGACATGCTGTGGGAGATTAGTAAACAAATTGAGGGGCACACAATCTGTGCGTTGGGCGATGGAGCTGCTTGGCCTGTGCAAGTAAGTTGTTTATGGCTCACAAAATAAATATATTACGTACTGGGCACCGTAATGCTGAGGAGGAATAAGTCTTGTATTCATAATGGCTGGGTACACCGGATACAAACTATGTTGATAGTTCAATATACTATATATGAAACACTGCTTTATGCTTTTACTTTTTTAGTTCACACATGAATAGTATCTATTTAGCTCTGGTTTAGCTGTCAACTGCTGTATAGCTTCTTCTCCACAACATATTAATGTAATTTGATATTGTTTCTTAGGGTTTGATTCGCCATCTCCGTCCAGAATTGGAGGAACGCATTAAACAATTTAACACAGCTAACAGACAGAAGGCCAGCAGCTAACATGAAGAATGAGTGTTGGCAAAGACTCCTATTATAAATCCCATCATATGCCTGGAGGGGATTCCATTTGCCGTTTATGAGTTAATAAACTTGAACTTTCATGGTAGCAGACTGATGGAGTTCATGAATACATTTAAAATATTTAAATAAATACACCAAACTCTGGTTCAAGGTCCTGTATTTAAATATAAACCAAAATATCTTTCAAACTGTCCGAGAACCTTGTAGAATGCTGTTGTATGTGTTTGGAAATAGCAGTGAGAGTGCAGAGTCTGTCATCATAGCTGTAAGTCCCCAAACCTTGTATTCCATGAGTCGAAAAACTGGTAAAGTATGTGAATACCGACTACCCTGACGAAAGCAAGTATAACCACGGCAGACGTCCATACAAGCAAGGGAAATGGGTAGTGTGAGAAGAGACTCCACCTGGGGACAGACAAACAAAGTGGCAACAGTTGTGGATGCGTACAGTACAAGTAAGAGAAACAGAATGTATATAAATGCTAGGAGATAACATTTGTAAAGGAACACATCAAGCACCATAACAAATTACACTGGGTGGGCATAATGGCACTTCTCGCACCATAACCATTACAGCAGACTGCAGTAGTTATGGTGCTTGGTGTGTTATTTTAAGTGAAGGAATACAGCTTTATCTATTATATGTTGGAAATGCAGATTAAACCATGAACCCCTCAAGGACGCAGGATGGAAAATTTCCGTCCAATACTAAAATTAACCCCAGATTGCCACAATCGCAGCAATCGTGGGGCTAGTGTTCCTGCAGTGTTCCTCCGTGTCTTAGGCACACAACAGCAAGCAGTCTCACTGATTCAGCCCATGTGTTCGCTCTGACCGGGAGTCAGAGCGATCACACGTGCTGAAGTGAAACCTGATCTGTCTCCCTGCAGCTCCGTTTGAAAAAAAAAAAAAAAAAAGTGTTAGTGAGGAAATCCCACCCCCTCTCCCCCTTCCCAATAAAATGTAACCCCTTCCCTGCCCTTTGATCAGTGTCTGCAGTGATCAAAATACAGATCACAGTATTTCACTGTAATCCAGTTGTACAGCACTGTGGAATATGTTTGCGCCTTTAAATATTAGAAATAAATATATTTAAAAATCAGATTTATTTTTTTTCTTAACCCCTGCGGTTTAACAAAGTTTTAAAATAGTAAAAAAAAAATTAAAAAAAAGTTGTTAAAGTTAGAAAATGCGTATTACCGCTACACTTTGTACAGGCTAGCAAAAAAATGCTCCCACGCTAAGGTTCAAAATATGCCTTTTGAAACACCCTGTGGTGTCTTCTTTAGGAAATGGTATGCCTTTGTGAAGTAATTGGAAAAAACAACCTGCTAAAAAAAATTCCCAAGTGGGGCATGGACCCAGCGAAAAAAATCAAACAAATGGCTGTGTCTCAAATTTGCCCCTTTAACGTCGTCATTTACCTGGTAAAGGTACACAGGAATATTGCTGTACTCAGATGACAAAGCTGAGCAACATATGAAGTATTATACTGCCACAGCAAACATAAGGTTTGTAAAATATACATTACAAACTCACTGTGTGTGTCAAAAAGGCAGAGGAAAATGCTTATTACCACCACACAAGCTAGCGGAAAATTGATTTCACGCTAAGGTTCAAAATATGTCTTTTGAAATACCCTCGGGTGTCTTCTTTAAGAAATGGTATGCATTTGTGGGGTAGATGGAATAACCAACCTACTAAAAAAACAAAGTGGGGTATGGATACAGTGTAAAAATGGAAAGTTTGAAAAAACTTAAATGGCTTTGTCTCAAATGTGCCCCTTCAACGTCCACAAATACCTGGAAAAGGTACATGTTGGGGTATTGCTGTGCTCAGACGACATAGCTGAGCAAGATAGGAAGTATTATAGAGTTTAGCTGTCAACTGCTGTATACACAAGGTTTGCAAACTATACAGTACAAACTCACTGTGTCAAAAAGGCAGAAAAAAAATACTTATTACCACTACACTTCGAACAAGCTAGCAGAAAAATGATTTCAGGCTAAGGTGCAAAATATGCCTTTTGAATTACCCTGATATGTCTTCTTTAAGAAATTGTATGCCTTTATGGGGTAGTTGGAATATGTAGCCTGCTAAAATACTCCAAAATGGGACATGAACAGTGTAATAATTCCAAGTTACAAAAAAAACAAAACTGAATGGCTGTGTTTCAAATGTGCCCCTTCAATGTCCACATATACCTCGCAAAGGTACATACTGGGATATTGCTGTACTCAGACAACATAGATGAGCAGCATTTGAAGTATTATAAAGCCGTAGCACACATAAGGTTTGCAAGATATACAGTACAAACTAGGGATCGACCGATATTCTGTATTTTCAACATTGCTGATAATGCAGACCAGGGCCGCCATCAGGTTCCTGAGGGGCCTGCAGCACATACTTGCCTTCCTAGCAGCTCCCCTATCTAATTCTTGCGGGTTCCGCTACCATCCTGTCTAACTCTTGCGGGTCCCGCAGTTACCATGCCAACGCTCCGCGCGGCACACAGGCTGCAAGAGGAGTTGAAGGGAGCTGCTGGAAAGGTAAGTAACAGTCAATGCCACCGGACCACCAGGGAATGCCATATCCCCCCCTCCCTGGCCAGGAAAGAAGCAGGGAAGGGGGACTAAAACCCAATTTAAAATTGTTTTATATATTTAAAAAAAAAAGTAAAATAAAAATGCCCCCGCCCCACCATTTTACACACTTAACATACATACACAAACACTGAATGCACAAACACACACTCTGCATTCATTATATACACACAGTACACAAACACACTGCATTCACTATACACACACACTGCATCCATTACACACATACACATTAATCAAATACTCACTGCATCCACCACACGCACATACCATATATACTCAAGTATAAGCCGACTTTTTCAGCACATTTTTTATGCTGAAAAAGCCCCCTTCGGCTTATACTCGAGTGAGGGTCCCACTTACCTGTTCTCCGGTGCAGTTCTGGATGTATTGCGTAAAGGGTATAAGAACAAAACCGTTTGATGGCAACAAACTAAATGTGGGGATGCCCATCGCTATGCTACTCCATACAGATGGCAGACATTATTATTATTATTATTGCCATTTATATAGCGCCAACGGATTCCGTAGCGCTTTACAATATTTCGAGAGGGGGGGTGTAACAATAAATAGGACAATTACAAGAAAACTTACAGGAACAATAGGTTGAAGAGGACCCTGCTCAAACGAGCTTACAGACTATTGGAGGTGGGGTATTTGAAACATTAGGACAATAAATATCAAGTAGTAGTGAAGCAGAGCTAGAGGAGAGAGCAAAGCACTGTCCCATAGGAGAGAGCAGGAGACAGGTATGTAAGGTAGAGATTACTCTGGGAGGCCATAAGCTTTCCTGAAGAGATGGGTTTTAAGGCCCTTCTTAAATGATTGAAGACTAGGGGAGAGTCTGATGGCAGTAGGCAAGCTATTCCATAGGAGAGGAGCCGCCCGCGAGAGGTCCTGCAAGCGCGAGTTGGCCGTACGGGTGCGAGCAGCGGTCAGGAGGTGGTCACGGGCAGAGCGGAGGGTACGTGGAGGGGCATATTTATGGATCAGTGAAGAGATATAAGCGGGGCTAGAACTGTTCAGTGCTTTAAATGTATGGGTTAGCACTTTGAATTGACTCCTATAGCATACAGGGAGCCAATGTAAGGACCGGCAGAGGGGTGAGGTGTGAGAGGACCGACTAGAGAGGAAAATCAGTCTAGCTGCAGCATTCATTACAGACTGTAGCGGGGCAATACGGCTTTTGGGGAGACCAGTCAGGAGAGGGTTACAGTAATCCATGCGGGAAATTACTAGAGCATGGACAAGCTCCTTGGTAGCATCTTGCGTAAGAAAGGGGCGAATGCGGGCTATGTTTTTGAGTTGGAACCTACAGGACTTGGCAACAAACTGGATGTGAGACTCAAAGGTGAGACCAGAGTCAAGTATGACGCCAAGACAGCGTGCTTGCAGGGATGGACTTATGTGGATATCACTGACTTGAAGGGAGAGCGAGAGAGGAGGATCAGTATTAGGAGGAGGAAAGACAAGGAGTTCAGTTTTAGAGAGGTTAAGTTTCAGAAAGCGTGAAGACATCCAGTCAGAGATGGAAGAAAGGCAAGCAGTGACACGTTGCAGGACAGCAGGGGAGAGGTCCGGGGAGGAGAGGTATATCTGAGTGTCATCAGCGTACAGGTGGTAGTGGAATCCAAAAGAGGCAATCAGTTTACCAAGAGAGGCAGTATAAAGAGAAAATAGAAGGGGACCAAGGACAGACCCTTGGGGAACTCCAACAGAGACAGGACGAGTGGAGGAGGTATCCTTGGAAAAGGAGACACTGAATGAGCGTTGGGAGAGATAGGAGGAAAACCAAGAGAGGACCGAGTCACAGAGACCGAGCGATTGAAGAGTTTGAAGGAGGAGAGCATGATCAACGGTGTCAAAGGCAGCAGAGAGGTCAAGGAGAATTAATATGGAGTAGTGACCTTTGGATTTAGCGGAGATTAGGTCATTAGTCACTTTGATAAGAGCAGTCTCAGTAGAGTGGAGAGGGCGGAAGCCAGACTGAAGAGGGTCAAGAAGAGAGTTGGAATTAAGGAAGTGGGACAGACGGGTAAAGACAAGCCTTTCCAAAAGCTTTGATGAGAAAGGGAGCAGGGATATGGGACGATAGTTAGAAGGGGAGGATGGGTCAAGAGATGGTTTTTTCAGGATAGGTATTACAGTGGCATGTTTAAGGTCAGCAGGAACAGTGCCAGAAGAGAGAGAGCAGTTAAAGATGTGTGTTAGGGTAGGCACAAGACAAGGGGAGAGAGATCTGATGAGGTGAGATGGGACAGGATCGAGCGGGCAAGTGGTGGGGCGAGAGGAATGGAGAAGCGCAGCCACCTCTTGTTCAGTAGCCAGGTAGAAAGTCTGGAGGGTAGGGAAAGCAAGATTTACATGTGGTTGAGAAAGAGAACGGCAAGGAGGGGAGAATTGTTTCCTTAGCTGTTCAATCTTGTCGGTAAAGTAGCATGCAAAGCTATCAGCTGTAAGGTTAGTTTGGGGGGTGGCCACAGCAGGGCGGAGAAGGGAATTAAAGGTGTCAAAGAGGCGTCTGGGATTGTGGGAGCATGAACTAATGAGAGAGGAAAAGTATGACTGTTTGGCAAGGGCGAGGGCTGCGCTGTATGAAAGCAACATGAATCTATAATGGAGAAAGTCTGCCTGGGTACGGGACTTCCTCCAGGAGCGTTCAGCACAACGGGAGCAACTCTGCAGATAGCGTGTTGATTTATTATGCCAAGGTTGGGGTCGTGTCCTCCTCGAGGTGCATGGTTTGAGCGGGGCTGCAGCGTTCAAGGCAGATGTGAGGGTAGTGTTATATGTGGAGATGGCCAGTGAGGGACAGGAGAGGGAAGGGATGGATAGCAGTTGTGAATCAATGTCAGCTGACAGCTGCTTGAGGTCAATAGAGTTAAGGTTCCTCCTGAGCTGAGGGGGGTTAGGCTGAGATTGTTGGGTGAGTGCTTCTCCCTAGTGTTGTCTACATTTACATGGTCATCCGTTCACTTCCATGGATTTGATGGTTGACGGTTTTGGTCGAATAGAGATCCATCCCAGCTGTTGTGCTATTTCTACTACTCCTCTCATAATGCTTTTACAGCATCTTGAGGCAAAAATAGAAGCGTAAAACACTATTTCTGTAGAACTAGAAAAGAAGCAAGTCCCTTTCAAATTACATAGGTCAGCACTTTACAAAAGGGGGGACCTATTGTCCGGCCCCCACCCATGAGCAGCAGGTGGGGGCACTAAATGAAAATGGGGGGGGGAGGGGCTATTGTCCTCACCACCCATGGGCGACGAGTGGGAGCTAAGTGTAAATACCCCCCAGGTGACTAGGGGTCTCCATAACCCTAGTCGTCATCCACCCAGCCTAAAAATAGTAAGGGGGACAATAAAACGAAGTCCCTGTAAATAAAAAAATTAAAAAAACTATTTAACGTTTGATGTCTTTTTTCTAAAATCTTCTTTTTCAGCTCCAAAAAAGGCCAAATAAAAATCCATAATACCCGTTGAACTTTGAAAATAAAATAAAAAAACCAGAGGCCCCCCCCAAAAAAATCAGACGAAAAAAAACAAACAAAAAAACAACGCTTAAAACGTAATCCATCTGGGGCGGGGCCTGACCGCAGAGCTGAGAGGATGTTAGCCTCAGTAGCTCCTGCAGCAAGCGACAAATAAAGCTGTTTATCACAGTCAAACCAGCGATCAATCATGTCAGAAAAGCCTCCAAACGTGGGGAGACACCAAGAAGATTAATATGATACCAATCAAGCTACCAGACATGCAAAATCCACTCGGCAAAAGCCTAAGGCCGCCTTCCCGACGCCACACAAAGCTGACAAAGTATACAGGGGTCTCCGTTCCCCCCCCTTGGACCGGTTGGGGTTATCCCGGTCCACCTTCACGCAGGGAACACTCACCTCCGAGACGCTCCAGGGTGCAACTTGAACCGAGAGCCACGAGGCCGGGCCAAGATGGCCGACGGCACCGCAGCAGCTGCAGAACGACAGAGGGCAAACGACTGGGCAGAGGCCTTCATGGCAAAATTTGATGCCGTCTGCAGGCGGTTCTGGAGGCGGGTGGAGAACAACAGCCAGACCCCAGTGCCGACACTGGCTAACGCGAAAGCAGGGACTACGGAACCCTCTCCCGCCCAGCTGGGACACCTGGCTGCCCTCTCTCCTCCGCGGAAGCAGGGGTCACCCGAGATGGTGAAAATACAGAGTCCCGACTCACCCTCTGGTACGCCACGAGCACCCCCTACAAGTGATGTCACTGGCAGGCAAAACAGAAGAGAGCCCCGAGCTGCAAGGCAGAGATCATCGCCCGTGCTGAAGCGCCGACCCCCTGCAGCAGCTCTGAGGGTACACCCGAGTCTACCACACCGAAATGCTGGGAATCAGCAGAGACCTTTGCGACCGGACAGCGCAAGAAACAGAAGGTAGAACAAGGGGCGAAATACATCCACTATCCTTCGATCGTGTGGACTTAGCCCTGCAGGCCCTGGGGAAAGGTGTATGCAACCACCAGCCCCACTCCCCCAACGCCCTGGCAAGCTACCCAAACAAGGGTTACAGCACCTAAGACTCTCACGTTACCGGGTCGATGACCCCCCACTCACGGGCATCAGCTGAATGGACTTATGACAAAGTATATAAACTCCCACAGCAGCTACATACCCCTGGGAGATGCTTAGTTTATATACCGAAAGCCTCCTTAGCCACTTCTAACGTTAGCCAAACTGTTTTTTGTCTGTCGCTCTATTTGCATAGCCTTACGTTTTCCATTATAATCATAACAATTGAGCATGCCCTCCATAGATGCCCTCAGCTGCATGGCGATCTGCGGGGAATATAACTAGCCTAGACACCAAGGATATAATACTCCCTAACTACCTACTGATCGCCATACCCGGCAGTGTCAATGTATAGCCTGACATCTAAAAAGATCCAGCCGTTGTGCCATTAAGGGTCCGACAAACTGAGCACCCCTAATTATTAACCACTCCCAAAGAGTATTACCTTTCATGTAATCTATTATATATCAGTTAAGCAATTCCTATGTGTGTTACCCATTTTAGCAAGAAATGCCTACACTATGATATTGTTAATGTTGTGAGTTTTCTTTCTAACTGCTTCAACATAATTAATATCACTCTGGTGACACCCATGGGTGCTGTGCCTTTAATCAAAAGACCTACACATTCCCAGTGCGTTAGAGCACCCAGCTAACCTAACTACAGCTACCACTAGCACTGTGTCGCAGCCAGATATGTCTAATATGTTACTCCTGCTATAATTTAAAAATGTGCAATGTTTCTGATGCTACACTATTGTTACTGCATGTTTCCTTTATGTTTGCACCAGCTGTCGTGGCAGTGCAAAACTGCTTGTTAACTTGATGCACAAATAAAATAAAGAACTAAAAAAAAAAAAAATTAATCTTCACTCATGGAGGGCACAGCACAGACTGAGCTCCGCAGGGCGGGGAAAAGCTTATAAAGTCTGCCCACGCCCTGCAATTAGGCTTAGCTCACTCTGATTGGCTGATTCCAAGCCAACCAATCAGAGTGTTCTGACAGATAAATGAAGAGACTGACAGGTAAGTCACAGCACTCTGATTGGTTGGCTTGAAAAATGTTAAATGTTAATTTCTTCACTTCTGCTTCTATCAGCAGTCTGTGCAGTACATTCCTTTCTGGTTATTTCTTGGAAGGTCTTATCCATGATAAATTTCTATATCAATTTCTAAATCTGTGGAAAATGGTAACCTTTCAACCACTATATAAAGCTAAGGTAAATGTAGTGATAACTTCCAAGTAAAATTGACTCAATTTTCGAAACTGCTGATAAATAGAAAAACAAAAAAATCATATCTTATGATTTTCCATTATCTATGTCAGGAATAGTCAACCTTTTAATACCTACCACCCATTTATGTATCTTTTTTTAATGGTAAAATTTCCTTGCCGCCCACCAGGTACGAATTAATTTGGTAGCGCAAGTGCAAAACATTTTTTAGAAAGGAGATTTAAAAAAAAAATTTAAAAAAAAATATATATATATGTGTACTTCAATTTATCTTTTGATTTCTACTTTATGCATGTGTATACATATATAATTTAAATTTTATGAATCTTCATCGATGCAGCCCCTACTAGCGTGTGAGCTGCTTAAATTTAAGAAATTAGAAAAAAAAGCAAAATCAAGTTTTCACATTTCTTTATTTTTCTATTTTTATTTAGTTTCCTTTTTTCTCCTTATTCATTTCTTCTTATCTTTTCTCCTTCCTTATTGCAACCACTAGAAAGAAGGCTGAACTATGTAGCCCACTTTATTAGTATTGCCAACAACCAAGTTGACTGTTGATCACTGATCTATGTGCAAAAGCAACCACGCTTCCAAGGTGAATGGGTCAGGGAATGGTTGGGAAACTGAAGAGGGTTGTGCTCCTTGAAACAAGAAGGGTATCATCAGATTGTTACAGATAAGTGTTGCAACCTGTGGGTTTTATTGTAATTGTTCCGTTTTTATCCCAAAATAGTTTGGGGTTTTTTTCCTAGATTTTCCTGAATTATCCACAAGGTGTGATATACTAACCTCATCTGGATTGGGTTCTGGGGCCAGATCCTCCAAGGGTCCAATATTTGCTAATACTGGAACGATTACCATTCCTGTCTGCAAGAACAGGATAATTGTTAATGGCATTGTCACTAAACCGCAATACTGAGAGAGATTTCAGTAAAAATGCAGCTTTGCATAACTGACAGTAGAATTGCATATTTGTAGTCCAAAATAGCAGCCAGAAAAATTGGCTGCAAAAGGCAGGTGTTTAGAGCTTAACCTTGCAATTCTCTTTGCAATTTTATAGAACTTACTAACATGTATGTTTAGTTGTGGTCGACATGCAATGTAAACTTACCCAGTCGGTGATGGACTTCATGGCACCCCAAGCAGAATCTGCAGTTAGTGGTACTCTGAGTTCCTCTTGTGCTTCCCTCAAAGCTGTATGTATGATATTTCTGTCTGAAGCATCTCGTTTTCCCCCTGGAAAACTAAAAGTAAGTGAGCCCTAAAATTACCATTTTGGCAGAACAGGATCTTTTAAACATAATTAAATACCACATTTTAGCAAATAAAAGGAGCACTTATTTTTTTCTTTCAGTTTTCCTTTCCTTATGCACTTTGTATTGTAACGGATATAACGTCTACTTCAGTGGTGTATCCTGGTTTTGTGCTGCCCTAGGCAGGACAAAACTCAGGCACCCCCCTCCCCCCGCGCCACCCCCACCCAACCCTTCCCCCGCCCCACCTTCTAAATACACACACACACAGTCAGACACATACACACAGTCAGACACATACACACACACACAGTCAGACACACACACACACAGTCAGACACAAACACACACACAGACACAAACACACACACACAGTCAGACACAAACACACACAGTCATACACACACACACACACACATACACAGACACAGTCAGGCACAAACACACACAGTCACACACACACAGTCAGACACAAACACACACACACAGTCAGACACATACACACACACACTCACAAACACACACACAGTCAGACACAAACACACAAACAAACACACACACACACACAGATTAACTTTTTTTTTAAATTTAAATCCCCCCTCCCCCAACCTCCTTACCTTTGGGAGTGCTGGGGGGGGGAGGTCTCTCTCTCCCTGGTGGTCCAGTGGCTGCCGGGCGGGCGGGCGGTTGACGAGGGAGCACTTCCTATGAGCTGTCTGCTCAGCTCCCTCGTGCGCCGGCTGCAGAGTGAGACTGGGAGCCGGAAGATGACATCATCTTCCGGCTCCCAGCCTCACTGTGCGGCGCGCGAGGGAGCTGAGCAGACAGCTCATAGGAAGTGCTCCCTCGCCAGCCGCCCGCCCGCCTGGGATGTCAGTTAGTCGCAAGGCTAACTAGGCATTTGCGGGGCGGCGTTTTTTGCCGCCCCCTGAAAAATGCCTCGCGGCTAATACGTCCCTGGTCTACTTGCTGGATCTGGGAACCACCAATTTGTTCTCCTCTCTCAAAGATGACTGCAGAGGGGCCTTCTCTAGGATTTTTTTTTTATAATTTATGGATTGTGGGTAAGTTAGCAACTGAAATGTAACTTAGAGGTGCACTATAGTGCCAGGAAAACAAACTAGTTTTCTTGGCTCTATAGTGTTAATAGGTCTCTCCCCCCCACCCCCCCCACCCTCGGGGTCACACTCCCGCTGGGCTGTTTTTTTTTTTCTTCTTCCAATAACATGCAATATTCTTTAACTATAAATATGACTAATATGCCAGAAGTTCATTAACACTATAGGTACTCCGACCACTTCAGCTGGGTGCAGTGTTCCAGTCCTCTTAGCCCTGCAATGTTTCTGAGAAACTGCAATAATTACATTGCAGGACTCAGGCTGCCTCTAATGGCTCTCACTCAGACGGCCACTAGAGGCGCTAGTGTCATAGATAAAAGGTACACAAAGGGTTACAGCCTTTGCCTTAGTTAAGTTCTTCAAGGTCTTCAGGGATTAAAAGCGAAATAGCTTTTGTCAGCAGTTTCTGCAGCTGGTTCTCTTGCTCATGACATGTTACGTTTGCTTTAACACTTTCGAGTAAGCCATTGTTGCTTGTAGGCATGCACAGTAGACTAATTGCCATTTTATATATACGATGCTCTCCCATTAAAGTTTGAAAAGATGATTTTTGAACTACAACGAAGTGTCTGTGGTTTTATTATCGGTTCTTTCGAGCGCTCATATATCTAATTAGGAGCCCCTGGTTATCTCTCTTGGATGAATTATCTATCATACATTTCTATATCACTTGGTGCTGTGAAACCCGTGAGGTTCAAGCCAAGGGCGCCTTTCCGGATCACACACGGAGGGATCCTTTTTGAAGTGACAGCGAAACCATGCAGCTGCCACAGTAGGAAACTTATTTCTACAACCTTTTTCTCACCTCCAAGGGCCACTGGATCTGGGACTGGGTGAGTATCTGTTTAAAATTGGCTAACTCCCAAGAACCTGTTTTCAATGATGATATAACCAGAGGTGTTGCTTTGCTTATATTGTCTGCTTAAAATTGCTATGAATTGTGAACTGGAATTGCAGATTTTAGAGCTCCTCTGTGCCTGTCAGGTTGTAATAATTGTTGGCCTGGTAATCTCTTGTATGATTAAAATACGTATCCTCCACGGCATATATTCTGATCTGCGTTTAGTGTACGTTTTAAGGCTAAGTCTCTGTTAAAATTCCTCTGCAGGGGTGGGTTGTGTGTGTTTACACACTGTTGTTAAGTGTTCTTATTACGTGTTCTTAAGTGTTTTTTTGTTGTTTATACAAGAATTACACTGTGACAAACTGCTTGCCTCAATTTGAGGGTCTAGCTAACCCAGGTATAATAATGGGGAACTCTTAAAGTCTCCCTGGGGAGGATAAGACTGCTATAGAAATCATGAAAAATCACCAAGGCAAAGATTCTGTGACAGGCATTACATCTATGCTAAAGAAAGCATTAATGACTCTAGAAGGGAGATTAGATCCACAACTATGGAAAGAATTCATGGCAAAGCATAAAGGATGGCTTGAAGATAAAAAGTTAACAGAGAAAGCTAAAAAAAAAATGGCATGATACTGCAGTCAAATTGACACAGTGTGGCTGTAAAGAAACTACTTGAAGGGGGATACCCTATTATCTAATGTTATGGGTCATTGCATGATGCTTCCCCTAAGGAAACTTAGCCTCCTTACCCTGAGCAGGCACACAGTACAGATGGTAATCCGAAACCCCACAGGTGTCAACAGTAAACCCAGTAGTAAACATACTACTGATGTTAAAAAGGGTATTTTACAAGCTGCCCCACATAACCGAGACCAACAGTGGTATTTGAAACAATATGATTCTGGTGTACCTTACATTAAAGCCTTAGAAAAATGGGCACAGACCAGGCTCACCAACCTTTCATCCCAACTCAAAGATCTTACCCAAAAGAAGGGGGAGTCAGTTGAAAAATTCTTTGCCTGTTTACACCTCAGGTGGAAGAATCTCGAATAATCAGAAAGGAACCCTCTGTCCACTAGACAGCTGGTTAACTGTTTCATGGATGGTTTTCATCACCCACTCAGCACAGCCCTTAAAATAGCCAGACCTGAGTGTGTAGCCTAAATTATTCTGACCTTGTAAAAGTTTCTAAAGGTATTGAAGCCAACCATAGTCCTTTTAGAAATAAACCAGCAGTTACCATTAGACAAATGGTAAATCAGATGTCTAGGGGCCAACACCATTCAAATCAGAGCCATGTATGCTGGAATTGCAATAAAATAGGACACATCAAGAGAAACTGCCGCTGCCCGCCTAGACAAAATCTGCAGCGCCAGCAATCCAGCTCAGATAATCCTAGCCAGGATTAGACTCCTCAGAGTGCAAATCCTTCCACTGCCCCATAGGACAGTGACAACCCCATTGCTATGGAATTTGCTGGTTCTATATAAATAATAAAATAATAATAGCCACTGCACTCTATTGTTGTGTCTAATGGCAGTATGTTCCATTGTGCAGGAAAAATGTTTTTCCCTATGAAAAATCAAATTATGTATTAAAATATGTGGGGGTGGATGGGACTTTGATTGACGTTCCTTTGTCTCACCAAATTAAACTCAGGCTTCTTGACTCGACTGCCTTGGTCACTAGATTGCTTGTTAGTCCCACTGCTCCTGTAAATCTATTTGGCAGTGATATTCTATCTGCCATAAATGAAAAAATACAGTTCAGCCCCACTGGTAATGTGACTTTGCCCCTTGAAGATAACTGTCTCATACCACTTGCTAGTGTGCTGGCAAAGCTTAAATTGCCCAGCCCTATGACAGAACCTACTCTTGACTTGACAACAGTCCCTAACTCCTTATGGGCACAGGGAAAGACAGATAACAGAAGACTTGCTGTCCCTCCTGTACAGGTTAAGTTGTTGCCGAATGCCACCCCACCTTGCCTTAAGCTATATCCTCTCAGCCCAGCTCAAGAAGATGCTCTCACTTAATCCATCCAAGAGTTATTGCAGGCTGGTATAATTGTATAAAACCACCTCTACCTGCAATAACTCTCTGTACCCTGTTAAAAAAAAAAAAAAAAAAAAACAGGAGAAAGGCAAGCCAGTGGTATATCGCATTGTGTATGATTTAAGAGCTGTTAATGCTGTAACTGAATTGATTGCTCCTAATGTTCCCAACCCTCATACATTGCTGTCACAAATCCCACCTTCCTCTAAGGTGTTTACTGTCATTGACCTGGCAAACGCATTATTTTGTGTACCATTGCACCCAGACAGTCAATACCTTTTTGCATTCACACACATGCATAAACAATGCACATGGACGGTGCTGCCTCAAGGTGCTCAGAATTCGCCTACCATGTATAGCATGGCAATGGCCCAAACTCTAGAAGCATGGCCAAGGGCAGATGATGTTGTGTTGTTACAATATGTTGATGATTTGCTTCTATGTTGCCCAGACCAGGAGTCATTTACAAAGCACACACCCTGTCTTTACTAACTTTTTTGGCACAAGCAGGGTGCAAAGCTACCAAGGCCAAACTGCAGGCATGTGCTTCCATTGTTATCTTTCATTTACCTCCTGAAGCAGAAGAAGCCTTTTACACTATTAAGTTGCTTGTCACCTCAGCCCCAGCGCTGGGTCTACCAGATTACCGAAAGCCCTTTTCCATGTTCTGTACTGAACAGGTAGGCTATGCTACAGCAGTAATTACCCAGGTCCATGGGCAGAAGCAAAGGCTGGTTGCCTATTACTCAGTCAGATTTTATTACTTTCCCAAAGCCTAGCTAGGACTATCTTAGCTGCCATTAAAATGTGAATTTTTAACATGCTTTTTTCAATAGGCATATTGGGCCATCCCTGATGTAGCAAAAAACTCTGTGGTGTGAAAGGTATATATATCTGACAGGTATTATAAATCTGTTGATAAATATTCTTCCATGTATTATTTAATAATTTACATTGCCACCATATATGGAGATAATCTCCTTTCCCATCATCACATCTCCAACAAGCATGGTTCTGATCTTTATAAATTTTAGCTAGTTTTTCTGGGACTAAATACCATCTGTTTATAAGTTTATAAAAATTCTCTACTATATTCAAACAATGTATCGATTTATTTACCTTAACTATCACACTTATATCTTGCTCATTAATTTCAATATGTAGATCTTTTTCCCACTTATTCTTAGATTTCCAGACATAGGGCTTCTTGGAGTCCTTTAAAAACTCATAACATCTAGTAATATGGCCTTTAGTTCTTTGAGTTTCAAGAATCTTTTTAAGATTACTTGAGTTTTATTAAAATAAAACCTAATTCTTAAATATGTAAATATCTCCTTGTTAGCAATCCCAAACGCTGTTTGTAGCTGGTTGAATGGCTTGATTTCCTTTCTATCTATAATCTCTTGGATATTCTTAATTCCCTTCTGTGACCATCCACTGATATTAATATCCTCAATATTCCCCTTAATCACCTCTATTGGTAAGAAGGAAAACATTCTTAATTTTATTCCAGTATCCCAAAATATTGTCAATAATAATTGAATTTCCTGAACATACTGGTTTGCTCTTATTTTTCTCCTTTCTTGTTGCCCAAAATAGGGCATTCAGATTATCTGTCTCTACTAGTGATTGCTCTATTTGTTACCAATCTTGATCTTTTTGATCTGTACTTAAAGTATTAACAGCATGTGCCATCATACAGGCACTATGATATTCTATTATGTTTGGGGCAGCAAGGCCTCCATCATTTTTTTTTCTTTGATAACAAATGTAGACATATTCTGGGTTTTTTCCCCTTCCAAATGAATTTAGAGAAAGCTGACTGTATCATTTTTAACCAGGGAATTGGGACTTGTATTGGTAACATTCTTAAAAGATAGTTCCATTTGGGCAGAATGTAGGAGCGAATAGTATTTATACGCCCTATCCAGGAAATCTCCCTGATGAAATCTCACCTGATGAGTTAGTTAAGACTCAGGTACCTCATGACTGCCCATGACTTTGGACCTCTTTGGCAGGCCCGAAATTTTCTTATATCTGCAAGAACTCAGAAGCCGTGAGTGTCCTAATGGATGCCATCCTGCTACCCAAGCATGTGGGAACTCATCAAGGTGGCAGCTCAAGTGAAGATCACAAATGAAGCATCCCGAGGAAATCACAGAGCTGATGTAGGGGCTAAGCAGGCTGCCTAGCGACCATACCTTGCAGGTAAATCTCCTTTACAGGAGACAGTAGCCCAATCTGTTTCACTATGACAGTAGCCCAATCTGTTTCATATGACATACTGCAAACCCTACAAAAGCAGGCAGGCATGGAAGAACAAGAACAATGGAAGAAGCTGGGAGCCCTCCAAACCCTCCAGCTGCAACACAGCAACATGACTGCTACAGGCCTTACACCAAAGATTAGGCAGGGTGCATAAACTAGTGTTCGATTCTATTCCAGATCCTGATAGTGACTCCTCTACCCACAAGCTTCAGCCTGGAGATTGGGTAATGATTAAGAGACACCTGAGGAAAAGTCTGGAGCCCAGATTTGATGGTCCTTTCAAAGTACTGTTGACTACTCCATAAAGCTAGAAGGAAAATCTACTTGGATTCACGCTAGTCACTGTAAATTGGTGCCTTATACAGAATTATACTGACCTTGACCTTCTGTGTTACCCCTGGGACCAAGTTAACAGACCGTTCAGACGCCCCTATAATGTTTTTTAGCTGGGACAGAGAAAATGTTGACAGGACAATTACACCTGCTTTGCCAATGCTAACATGTCCTGCAGACTGGCTACCATCAGAAAAGATAATGGACATTGGTATAGGGGGGAACGGGGTCGACTGTACCTAGGCAAAGACATGACTATTTTGAATGTGACATAGCTTCAAAATGTCTGTTTCTTGTGGGTTCTTCTACAGCTCATGCATGAAAGAGTTCGATTGGGGAGACTGTGATGGAAAGACATTGATTAAGCTATTGGGATGTTTGAAAGAGCGACCTGTGAAAGTGAGTGCTAGTATGGTGGTGAACATGACTGACCACTACACCTTTGCATGTACTAACAATTTAGTAATACATGATAGGCAGACATGGTTTTCAGTTGTAACTAATACAGGGATGAAGCCAAGGGTTTCTGCTGACAATCTGGTCAGTCTGCCAGCTACATGACAGAATGTTTCTACCAAAGCGGGCCTCATCCATGTGAAATATCAGATACTGTTCTCAGAAATACCTAAATGTAAGTCCCGTTCCAAACCAAAAAAAGAATAGTATGACACTTTTTAGGGGCTACAGGAACAGCTTCAGGGTTGCTAAATGCTATGGATCTAGAGATAGTGAGAAATAAAATAGCAGTTGCAGGCAGAGATGTGAACAGTGCACTCAAGTTACAAGCTTAATGGATGCCCTCCATATTTCTCCCTCAAGCCTATACCCTATCCTACAACAACAAAGCCCTTCAGCTATTTAACACGAGTTTGTATGTAACCCTGCAAATACTAACCAATCTCACTGAATACATTAAGTATACTTGTAGGACATCACTGGTATGATATTTTTACAGGGTGGTCTCCTTCCGCTAAAGGAGTCTTAAACATAGTACTGCACCCACTAATTGCTGTGATAGTTACATTGTATCTGGACAAGTCTTCCTTGATGGCTCCTTTGGTGTGAGATGGCAAGGGAACCAAGGTGAAGATCTAATTAAAGTCCCACAGGTATAACTAGCATAGCTGGATATACCTTGCCTAGAACTCTCACCTGTAGAGCCAAAAGAGGGGAATTGTCATAGATAAAAGGTACATAAAGGGTTACAGCCTTTGCCTTAGTTAAGTTCTTCCACGTCTGCTGGGGTTAAAAACTAAATAGTTTTTGTCAGCAGTTTCTGCAGCTGGTTCTTTTTCTCATGAAATGTTACATCCTTTTTAACCTTGTAGATAACACTTTCAAGTAAGCCATTGTTGCTTGCAGACATGCGCAGTAGACTAATTGCCATTTTATATATACAATGCTCTCCCATTAACGTTTGAGAAGATGATGACAACAAAGTGTGTGTGGTTTTTATTATCGGTTCTCCCAAGCACTCATATATCTAATAAGGAGCCCCATCACTAAAAAAAAAAAAAAAAAAAGAACTGAAATGGGTAAACTAAAACAGTTCACCCAAAATCAGAATCTAAACCTATTTTGGGTGTACTGTTTTAGTTTACCCATTTCAGTTCTTTTTTTTTTTTTTTGGGTTATGCCCTGATACCCTTCAACCAATAACAACTCCGGTGGATCGATCATTTAGGGTCCTTCCACTGCTGTTGTATTACTTCTATATCACTAAGCGACTTTTAGTCACCTGACATTGGATGCTCTCATGCTTTGCATGAGGGCATCCAGCGTCAGAAAAAAACCCATAGGAAAGCATTGCAGCAATGCTTTTTTATGAGGGAGGACCGAATGCGCTCAACGCAAATGTGCATTAGTTTCCCCTGTCGGGTGGCATCAGGGGAGGCGAAGTGCTGACCCAAGGTAGAGGGAAATCAGTGCTGGACTCTAGTAAGTACAACTTACACTGCTGGGGGAGAGGGAAGTTTAGTGTAAGGCAGTGTTCCCCAATCCAGTCCTCGTGGATCACCAACAGTCCAAGATTTATGTATTTCCCTGTTTTATTCCAATAGAGATACTGACAAAACCTGAACTGTTGGTGGTCCATGAGGACTGGGTTGGGGAACACTGGTGTAAGGAATACAATTGTATCCATTGCTAATTAATGGATAACAACAAAAAAAGATTATTTGCAGTTCAGACTTTTACCATCTCTGCTGTCTAAATATCCTGTTGGTAAAGAAGCAGTTCTAAGAGTAGTTTCACTTACCTGATATCACCCTTATGTCTTCCCCGTAGCTTAGAGGATCGTAAAGTGTAAAGGAAAGAAGGAACTCCTTTTGAGCTACATAATGTCACCAAAACACCTGCTGATGCCTTTTCTGGAATTGAAGTCCTACTTAAGGTCTCACGGCAACGCTGCTCTGTTTTACTACAAAGGACATTGCTGGTTGATTGTGAGATATTCCGTGTGCTGATACCACGAAAGAGAAAGTGTTGATGCATTGGGTCTCTGTAGATACATGAGTACAAGAGAAATGGAGTAATAAAATACATATAATCAAGTAAAAAACAAACTAAAAGAGAGTATAAGTAGCATGTCCTTCTGTGGGTTCCTGCTAAGGTCTCAAGCTAGTTTTAGATTACCTGTGCAATTATCTATACCATTTGCATTTCAGACTCATCCTTACTGGTTGCTACCAACATTGTGGCAACAGGTTGGAAAGGCCCTTTTCTGATCCAGCATGACCTTGCCCCTGTACAAAGTCATGCTGGGCAGGGGCAAAGATTCTGGTGTAGAGGAACTCAATTTGCTTGTACAGAGCCCTGCCCTCCACCACATTGAAGACCTTTGGGATGCACAGGAACACCAGAACTTTTCATACAACATTAGTTGCCTGACCTCACAAATGCTATATTGGCTAAATGTGGACAAATTCCCACAAACTCAATTCAAAATGTTGTGAAAAGTCTTCAAAATCAAAATAAAGGATAAAACATCTGTTTTACTCATACTTAGTAAATACATTCTATGGCATAGAAACAACATATCAAAAAGATGTGGTATGGTGGGTACAAAATATAGGCAAACCCTCGGGATCCTAGAAAACAACTTAAATAGGGATATGCCTCTTCCCAAGTAAATTGGAGCTATTAAATGGATATTATAAGCATCAGAACACCATTAGCTCAATGAAGCAGTTTGAATGTATAGATCATGCCCCTGAGGTTTCAATGCTCAGTTTTCTGTCATTTATAAGTTAAAGCGACACTATAGTCACCAGAACAACTACAGCTTGTTGTATTTGTTCTGGTGAGTAGAATCATTCCCTTCAGGCTTTTTTATTATTATTCTTCACATGCCGTTTCTTTGTGCAGAGGGAATTAAGTATGGGAACCTAGAAGAGAAGTAGGGGAACAAAACTAGTATAAACTAGCTGACTATAAAATAGTTGACCAGAAGCTGACTTTGCCCAGTGTGCAAATGCTCATCCTGTTTTGGTCTCTCTACAGTGTAGCATATTCAATTTCTGCTACACTCACTAAATCCATTTTTTTTAGCTTTTTCAGACGGTTTATCAGGAGCTTCTGCTTGTTAGTAAGAAGGAAAGGAGAGCAGTGGACAAGTGAGTACTGGGGGGACACCAAGAAACTGTTACCAGAAAGAGTATTGCAAGCACATCATTAGATGTGTTTGTGGCAAGCTCAGGGTGCTGAAATAGTGTTGTTTGCATAGTCCGCCTTTAGTTAGCAGGTTTTGCATCACTGGCCTACCTCCTTTGACCCCACCCACCTGCTTCCACATTCACAGGACAAACTACCGAACGACCAGGCCACCCGTGTGTGGAGTGTGTCCCTCATTAACCTCTATCACCTCTTTAACACCTCGAAAACCACAAGCATTCTAAGCAGTTGGCTGGGTGGTCGGCGTTCGGTATATGAACATGTGGCAGTGGCCATATTCAGCAGCGAACACATACAGCGGTGTTTGGGTCGTCAAGTGCATGGAACTATAATCAGACACTCGACGTTGCGAACACCGCTGGGACTTCCATATCTTCATATGTTCACCTGGATTCATATGAAAAGAGCAGCGTTCGGTAGGAATACGCTCCCGAACCATATACATAGACTAAGTACCCATACGAACTCCTATGTTCGGTATTTTGACTGTTTCATGTATTCCAGAAATAGACAGACCGCACAGCCTGATTTCATGGAACTCTTTTGGGCAGGAGCCTTGTGTGCAGTCGGTCAAAATGTGACTTCCATGGAAATCCTGAACCGATCTGGGTGATCTTTGGGTATGTTGGTCCCCCAGATTGGGGCTATCAGGGGATATAACTTTAGTGGGGTTTCCATGAGTTTTGGGGGTACTTTCAGGATACTGTTAAAGAGTATATTTTTCCTGTGCTTAGAGATAATTGGATTACGTGAGTACAGTTCCTGATTCAATTATCTCCCAAGCACATTGGAGGGATTTCATTGTTTGTGTATGGGAGTGTCCTGGACCTGAGAGCCAATGTCATTGTATAATTGGCTGTACTGCAGTCTACTCTCAGGTCCAGAGGGGAGTGCCCCTTGCATGGGGATTGACATAAAAGGCCGTGTGTGGCTCCATTAAAACCAGTTATATCACAGCATAGAGCCTCGCCTCATGTTTGTGGGAGAAAGCTATAACAGCTGTCTCTCTTCTGCTTGCAGTGCTTAATCACTAGCTCTTGTAAGAGCTGTTCCTGCTCTGCTCTACAGCATCCCTCCCACTAGGGGGAAAAGAACATCCCTGGTGGCGAAACCCCTTTTCCCCCATCAGGGAGGCCTCCACAGTGACATAGGACTATATTATGAAATAGTTATATCCTATTCTGAGTTTACATTTTAAAATCCTAAGTTAGTTTGGTTGGTTTCAGAATTAGGCAGATTTGAAAAGATCTATTAAAAAAAAAAAGAAAGAAAGAAAAAGACGTTCTTACTTTTATTGTTATATTTGTTTTAACTGATTTAGCTTCATTCTTATATATTTTTTTTATTCATCTTCACTTGTTTTTTGTTATAATTATGACTTTTTATTTATTTTTGCGTTTTATAGTTTTTTTATATTTTTCCTCAGGCCCTATAAAATTCACAGGTAAAGTGCTGCCCTATTAAGATTCGTGTTGCTTTAAACGAATCGCTCCAATTTATTTGAGATGGGATATTTGTATATTTAAGTTAGTTCCTGGGAACCCAATTGTGTAGCTTTGAATAAGTGTACTGAGCACGAAACAATTAAAGGAACACTTTAGGCATCCACACCACGTCATCTCATTGAAGTGGTCTGTTTGCAGTGTCCCTCTCCCCTTAACCCTGCAATGTTTACATTAAAGGGTTAAGACTGCCTCTAGTGGCTCTCTACCAGACAGACACTAAATATGCTTCCTGGACTCTATGAAACAACGCTGGATGTCCTCACGCTTTGCATGAGGACGTCAAGCGTGTTGAAATCCCCAATTATTATTATTATTTTATTATTTATATAGCGCCAGCAAAATTCCGTAGCGCTGTACTATGGGTGGACTAACAGACACATAATTGTAACCAGACAAATGGACGCACAGGAACAGAGGGGTTGAGGGCCCTGCTCAATGAGTTTACATGCTAGAGGGAGTGGGGTATAGTGACACAAAGGGTATAAGTAGGGGTAATAAAATAGGATGCTAGAAAAGTATTCACTGGGAACTTATTCCCAGTTATTTTTGACAGTTGCAGGAGAGGAGTCATGGGGAAGGGAATTAAAATCTGCTAACAGTTCAAATGATATGCTTTCCTGAAGAAGGGTGTTTTCAAAGATTTTTTTGAAGGAGTGGAGACTGGGTGAAAGTCTAACGGAGAAGGGAAGGGAGTTGCACAGAAAAGGTGCAGTCCAATAGGAATGCTTTGAATCAATTTTCTATGAGGAAGGCCTATGAGGCATGTGGTACATGCATATTAGGTTCCCCAGGATTGCCAATGTCAGAGGAGCACGAGCCTGACCCAGCACAGAGAGACCTCAGGTAAGAATCAGGTAAATGAAATATACTGCTTGGTTTTTCACTTTTTTCACTAAGTTTTCACAATACATTGATTTAGTGGTATGGTTTTGCCTCTATACAGAGCCTTCTCAGACTGGGATGTGGAAAAACACCATTCTTTTTGCAGCCGGTGTATAGCACTGCAGTACTTTGGAGTTTAGCAAATCCTATTTAAACATGAGCTAATTATGTTGTGTAGTTTGGTGCATTACCTTTGTCAACAAAGGACCGGTGAATGAAACAGCAAATTGTGTTGTGGTTTTTTTTTTTTTAATAAACAATAGCGTTTGTCCTATTAAAAAGAGAAGAACAATGCATTAAAGTAACATAGTATGGTCCACTTGAATGACCCTCTATTAATAAACAGTGAACAGTGGTTCAAATGTTTCATAACCCCTGTTCCTTCTTCAAAAGGAATCGAGCACTTTAGTTACGAAGAAAAGTAAAAACATTTAAATCTCTATAGTTTGGAAAAACGGCACCTCAGAGGGGATATGATAACATTATACAAATATACTTGGGGCCAGTACAAACCATTATCTGGAAACCTATTCATAAACAGGGCTATACGTAGGACACAAGGTCACGCATTTCGGCTGGAAGAAAAGAGATTTCATCTAAGGCAAAGAAAAGTTTTTTTACAGTAAGAACTATAAGGATATGGAATTTTCTGCCTGAAGAATTGGTTTTATCAGATTGGTTTTATCATACAGATGTTTAAACAGCAATTGGATACATACTTCCAAAAACATAACATACAGGGATATAATTTCTAATTAGTGGGGTAATAGCTACTTGATCCAAGGAGATATCTGACTGACATTTTGGGGTCAAGAAGGAACTTTTTCCTAGTTTGTTGCAAAATTGGAAGAGATTCAGACTTTTTTTTTTTTTTTGCCTTCTTTTGGATCAACAGCAAAAACATATGTAAGGAAGGCTGAACTTGATGGACACAAGTCTCTTTCCAGCTTTGTAACTATGTATATGTACAATGCCTTTCAAAGTGGTTGTCGTTTTCACAATAGCAGCACTGGATATTTTATTTCAAGTTCTATGGAAGAGAAAAGCAGCAAGCTGGAATGAATAAATTATGACAAATAAATTAAATTTATCCTGTTGGGAACATGCTTAAGCTGGGTGCCAATTCACTCAAATCCTCAAGCTTTCTCCAATAGAATTGCTGAATATGGTATCTCAATTTAATTTCCTTACATGAGATGTAGATTATACATTTACAGACAGTACTAAATTAAATTTTACCAGTCTCACAGTTGTGATCACACATAAATATTAATCTCTTAAGGACACAGCTTCAGAAAATGTCTTACCCTTAAGGACACAAGCCATTTTTGCATCTTTTGCTGTTGGTGTTCAAACGCAATTTGCATCTCTGTCATTTATTGCACCAACACATATTATATAGTTTTTTTAAGTGGGGGGAAAGGGCTTTAATTTGATGTCACATATACGTAGATACAGTCTCATTAATTATAAACAAAATGCCAAAAAATTTAAAAATTATTTTTTTTCACAGTGTGTGCATAATATGTCCAGCTTATAAAAAGTAATTCAAAATAAATTCATTTATGTGTCTTGATTTATAGAGTACATCATAATAGGATTTCAGCTTATTTTTCAAGTTACAGGTCACAAAATACAAGGACTAAAATAAAATTTCAATTTGCAAACATTTTAGATGTTTGTCTTGTAGGTTTAGTAGCCATCACAGAAAAAAAAAAATTGCCACACAAAAGTATATATCTATATATAAAGTAGACATCACAGGCTATTTACATAAGGTTAGTTTGACACTTTTTACATAGCCATTTCATCACCAATCTGCTAAATATTGGAGTAAAATTTAGTTTTTTCTTTATTTTGGCATATACACATATAACAAGGTTTTTGTAATGTGTATTTCGTAAAGCTGGTGTGTGCTATTCCTGCACAGAACTGTGTTCAGCTACATCTGCTGAGTATATTGATACCCCCATTGTATGCCTTTGGCACTATTCTGTAAAGCTGCAATGCCATATAAGAGACAAGGCTATTTCAGTTTCTATAGTTAGAATTTTCATAGATGGATTTGACGGGCCTTTTTTTAATTTTAGGGTAGTATAGCAGTGTGACTGTTCAAATAACCCCACAAAGGGCTTTCATTAACTTGTCACCATTCTTTCACCAATTTATGTCAATGTTTGTAGTGAGGGGGGGGAAAAAATGGCATTATTACATATATGTTGCATTTTTGTTGAGTATTTCTTACACTTGATATGTACCACTGTCATAAAAACCCCCAAATTATGCTAAGTTACATCTTCTGATTAAAACAATATATGACCTAGACACTATTTTGTGAAGTTACAGTTCTGTAAAAGAGACGTGACAAGTTCAGGTTTTTAAGTGTGAATTTTCATGGAGGGTTTTGACACGTTCGTGTCCCACTTTGGAGCACTTGAGCAGGCTACATATTCCAGCTACACCATAAAGGCATACAAGAAGACATCCCAGGGTATTTCAAAAGGCATATTTTGAACCTTAGCGTGGGATCATTTTTCCGCTATCTTGTACCAAGTGTAGTGCTAATAAGTATTTTTTTTCTGCCTTTTTGACACACAGTGAGTTTGTACTGTATATTTTGCAAACTTGTGTGCTATGGCTCTATAATACTTCCTATCTTGCTCAGCTATGTCATCTGAGCACAGCAATACCCCAACATGTACCTTTTCCAGGTACTTGTGGACATTGAAGGGTCACATTTGTGACACAGCCATTTAAGTTTTTTCAAACTTTCCATTTTTACGCTGTATCCATACCCCACTTTGTTTTTTTGTTTTTAGTAGGTTGATTATTTTCCGCTAGCTTATACCAAGTGGAGTGGTAATAAGCATTTTTTCTGCCTTTTTGACACACAAAGTGAGTTTGCACAGTATATTTTGCAAACCTTATGCGTGCTACGACTGTATAATACTTCATATGTTTCTCAGCTATGCCGTCTGAGTACAGAAATACACTGGCGGCTCCAGACTTTGTGAGGCCTTAGGCAAAACTCAAACATGAGGCCCCCACTAACACCCAAAGTGGAAAAAAAAATAGTGGTTGTATAAGGTGCTGTAGTTGTATTTAGTGATGTCGCGAACCCGAAATTTTCGGTTCGCGAACGGCAAACACGAACTTCCGCAAATGTTCGCGAACCGGCGAACCGCCCGAAACGCCATTGACTTCAATGGGGAGGCGAATTTTAAAACACACAGGGACTCTTTCTGGCCACAATAGGGATGGAAAAGTTGTTTCAAGGGGACTAACACCTGGACTGTGGCATGCCGGAGGGGGATCCATGGCAAAACTCCCATGGAAAATTACACAGTTGGTACAGAGTCTGGTTTTAATCCATAAAGGGCAGAAATCACCTAACATTCCTAAATCACAATCAATATGGATTGACACCTGACATATGACATATTGACACCTTGATATATGGATTGACACCTGTCCTCAGAGCCCCTGATGCACACGGACACAGAGCAGAATAGAGACTGGTCCCCCTACATGGGGTCACTTGGCAGATATGGATTGACACCTGTCCTAAGGATCCCTGATACACACTGACACAGAGCAGAATAGGGACTGTTCCCCCTGCATAGGGTCACTTGGCAGATATGGATTGACACCTGTCCTAAGGTTCCCTGATACACACTGACACAGAGCAGAATAGGGACTGGTCCCCTACATCGGGTCACTTGGCAGATATGGATTGACACCTTGTTACAAACTGCTATTTGTAACGGGCCCTTTAAATGGCAAATTGCCCTGCTTCCCTGGGTTGTGGAGAAGCCTACTTGCCAGCCTCCTCCCGCATGACTATGGCCCCTGGGAGATTGTGAAAATGTATGCACTATTATTTGGTGTGTATGGCCCTTTAAGACTGTCGGTGGGCATATTGGGGCTTATGGACTCTTTATGTGACTGGTGCTGGCCCTTTAAACACCTTTTTGGGACATCAGGAAGATTGGGACACTGCCCCTTTAAGGCCGTGTCCCCAGACTTGTTGGGGACACGGCCCCTTTAAGACAGTGTCCCCTGTGTCCCCAGACCTGGTGCAAACCCTTGTGCTCGCCTCTTGCTATTTCCCACTTGGTTCAGTAAAATGGGAAATTATTTCAGTTGCAGAGACTAAGTCCCATTCGCATGGGACTTGGGTCTTTTTTCAGCCGCTTTTTCAGCCTTATTTCAAAGCGTAGAGACTAAGTCCCATCTTCTATGGGACTTAGTCTTTTTCAGCCTTATTTCAGCTGCAGAGACTAAGTCCCATTCGCGATGGGACTTAGTCGTTTTTTCAGCCTGAAATAGATCGACCTCACAGCCCAAATCTATGGAACTGTTTTGGGCAGGAAAATGTGCTTGCGGTCGGTCATAAAGGGACCTCCAGCTAACTTTTTTAACCCCTGGATGGATTTGGCTGATTTTTGGTTATGTTTATGTTTTAAGTGTGCTGATTCCAAATATGTAATTATGAAGATGGGATGTGTAGTTTTAAAGTTACAGGGTATGGCTAAAACTGTATTTTTACTGCCTGTGTTTAATTATGTTAATCTCTTCCC